AAAACATTTTAAAGTAACAAGAGCTCATTAAAGATATAGGGGACACAGTCTGTTAGAAGCCCGAGTACAGACCACGTGGTTTAAACACTAAAAGTTTGAAATGGATCCTTTTAAGAAAAAATCTCTCAAAGCTCTGCATGTTCTGCAGGCTCTGAAAGTTGCAACAAGAGAAATAGCTCATGAGACAATTGTAATTGGACATGGAAGAATATAACAAAGTTAAAATTACAGGCCTTCTGTGTTGTCTATATGTTTGTGTGTGTTATATGTTTGTGTATGTTATATGTTGGTGTATGTTATATGTTTGTGCGTCATGTCAAGTACACTACGTTGACCTTAACAAACTGGACCAATATACTAACGTGGGGAGTCGGCCTGTGTGAGTGATGCGAGTGTGATGTGAAATGAGGAGTGCTGAACGGAGAATGGAATAACAAAAGTTTTCTGTAATGTTTTAATGTGATCATGGAATAATTATTTTTTGTCAACAGCATACGGTGTAAGTACTAGAGATTCAAAGATAACAAGCTTTATTGAACAGGTGTAAAAGTGAGAGTACTCTGGGATGAGTACTCTGAGAAAAGTACTCTGCGGAAAGTACTCTGAGATGAAATACCTTGCTGAAGGTACTGGGAGCCCCTCCCTCTGCTGTTTGTCCTGACAGTGATTCGGTCCAACCGCAGTGAGCGGTCATTGGTTGAAGGACAACTTTGGTTTGTAACTCACATTTAGGGGAGTATAAAATTAGAAACATACATATTGTTAAGTCTGTATTTGGCTACAGCCTCTGCCCTGATGTCACACACCGTCTGTCAATGTAGTTATGTTTTGTCCAATTGGAAAAAGATTGACAGGCCGCACCATGCCAGGGAAAGTGGGCATTTTTTGTGTTCTAATGTTTCTTTTTCAGATGAGAGATAAACTACCCCTGCTTAAGGGATGACAGTAGTATGGATCATGAGGAAATGAGCCTCTACTTTGGCACCAAAGCCCACAATATGAATTGAGGACGATCCGGGAGGAACAACTGGAGAATGATTGGAACAGTAATCTACACACACATACAGATGCATGTTTTATACTTTGGACCACGACCAACAGAGGGGAGTATTGTATTGTCATAGGTGGTCATGGTCCTTAACCTTCTAAATCATTAGAAAGAAGTGTAAAACATATATTTACAAGAACAAATAAATAATAGAAAGGGCAGCCTAAAAAAACAAAATGGGAAAATTATTAAGTAATTTTCGGAGTTGCCAAAATGGAATAAAATTCTATATTTGTCCCATAGGGGGTCATTCTAAATGTAGTGTTGTGCAAGTTCAAAAGGAGAAATAATAGCGCTTATAACATCAAGCAGATCTACTCTTTAAGATAATAGATCATATAATAATAATAATAGAATAGAATGAAATAGTCTGGAGCTATAATGTCATTGGAAGGAGCTATAGGTTGAAAGGTCGCTAAGAAGAGGTGTCAGAATAAACAATAGTAATAATAGTTAGACTAGTGAATAATCATCCATCCATCCATCCATTTTCTTCCCCTTAATCCATTTCTGGGTCGGGGGGGGGTGGCAGTCAGAGCTGCACCCAGTACACAGAGCACCGGCCCCTCACTGATCCTCCTGCAGGTGGTGAGTCCACCGGAGGGAATAATCAAAATAGCTCTATTGTGGAAATAAGTATCAATAAGGTCAAATTGTTCTAATAACTAAAGTAAAAAGGAATCAAATGGAGTCAGATTTTAGATGTTTCTGTTTTCCACATCTGTAGGAACTAGTGCAGATGTGTTTATAGAGAGTAGTATTAAAATGCAGACATAGAACGACAGGCTTTAACACAATTTTAAATCTAAAAATAGCTCAAATATAACATTGCTCTTGACGCAGCCTCTGAGCTGCTCCATTGGAGAACAGGTTAAATGTTATTGTTTATCACAAACAGCTGATGTATTTACACATATTAAGTTTGGGACAACTCTTTAAACAGTTATAAGCAGCGGACAGAAGCCAGGAATGTGCTTTTGTTTATTAAATAATTAATTTCATAGCCTTATAATCTTAGAGAACGTTTTAAAATAGTTAAAATCCCTTTCAGGCAACTTGATTTAGATGTATGTCTTTAATATTGGAGAACGACTGTGTTGTTTTTGGAATTGTCTGAAATACAATACATAGAATAGTGATTGGCAGAACAAGAACCAGCCAATGAAAAATCGTCTATGGCCAATGCAATTGTTACAATTAGAACCACAACTATGACCAAATGCAATAAAATGTTAAGGGTTCAGTCTGGCAGACAGAAACTTTGACTTTTTAGTCTGGGAGACTGAGCAACAGTTAAAATGTTTTAAAATGATAAAGTATGAGTATTGTTGCGTTTTAATAATAGTAAAAAAGTAGAATTGTCCTTCCTTTGTTGTTCATAAACACATTTCCACATAAGAGTTAAAATAGTACCATACAATGTTATCTCTGATAGAGCAGATAATATTAGAATCAGAATAATGTTAGAGATATTAAAAGTGACAGAAGTTACAAACAAGGAATATGCCTTTGCTCAAGCTGCAACCGAGCTTTAGAGTCACAATAGAGTAAAAATAGGAATAGATAAATGCATCAACCATAGATGCTTTCAAAATGGAGATTATTTTTAGCCAAGGCTAATATCAAACGGTAAAAGGACCATTTCCTTCATATTATGTCTAAAAGTATTTACTTCAAAGGTAGATAAAGTTCATTACAGTTTATGCACAGTTTTATTAGATACTGTCAAATTCACTTGTTTCAAACATAGGTGAATGTTGACAATGCAAAAAGCTAATGAGATAGATTAATGAGATCGACTAGAACCAACACAGATTCAAAAACATTTGAAAGCATTTTAATGTATTTGGGTATAGCACAAAAGTAGATCTTTAGGTATTTTTGAGAATTTTAAGAGCTGTCGATTTGTCAGCAACAGATTAGAGAATCAAAATACCGTTGTATAGGGACTAACCCCAGAAAAACCTGCTAAAATAGATTAGAATAGTTTAAACTATAGTGAATAGTTTTAGTGCATACATTACAGACGAGGTTGAAGAAGAATCAGAATGACAGCAGTGGTCATCAAAGAGTTTAGTGAAGGAATGTTTCGAATGTGGTTGTGTGTTGTTTGTCTTTCTGTATTAATTCTTCACAGATAACGAGCCAGAACCAAGAACCAAGGCGATGATGGACGAGCTCCCCAGTCCTGGCACCCAGAAGGGATATTGAAAGATTGTGACCTAAATTGGTTTAATATAGGTCAACAGAGGGGAACTGTTGTATATTTTAATATTTGACCATTTGAACATCATAGCCAGAAAGACCTCTGTGCACTCAGGAAAAACCCCAAGGACACAAGATAGTACGGGAATCATAAAGGAGGACCAGCTTACAGAGCCAGACAATTATTGACTCCCAGAATAAACACATGTGTGGCAATTTTGACCTATGGATTCGCCCGCAGCCCCCCCGCAGCAGCTGCGTTTGTCTAAGCCCCACGTTAGGCGCCGCACGGGTGGGGGCATTGTTTGCTTAAGCAGAGACCAGACCAGAGACCAGACCAGAGACCAGACCTGTGACGTCATCGGACCCTGGGCCCAAGACCTGCCTGATACGACACGCCCCCTGCTCCCTGAACATCGACTGATAATGCTCTGGCTTGGGAAGACACAGAAGGATCAGCCGAGGGCCAGAGAAAGGGACATATTAGTTTTAGGAGCACTTTTTTGTTGAACATTCTGTATCTGATTGTAAAGATAATTAAATGCAGATGTTAACCTTGGAGAATCTTTAGTCTGATTTCTGTACCAAATTGTGGACACGTCAGCCAAAGGGAATTATTGGCTACAGCACCATGTGCACTTGTATATTGTAAATAGTAACTGTAACTCTATTTTAAATTTATTCCTTAGAAATGTTTTTTATTCTTTATTTTTTATTATCTCTGACTGTTGCACTGAGCCAAAGCAATTTCCAAGTCTGTGACTTCCTGTTACTTATGTGGCAACAAAAAATATTCTGATTCTGATTCTAAATGTTTTTGAATGTCCTTAGACCCTCCTGCATCTGCATGGAAAAACAGCGGGTGAATAATATAAATCTAAATATTGTATGTTTGTTGGAGGCGCCTGATGTAAGCCAATCAGGACAGGCCACGTACGAGAGAGAGAGAGAGAGAGAGACCAGACCAGACAGAAGGAGAGAGAGAGAGAGAATGAGAGAGACCAGACAGAATGAGAGAGAGGGAGAGAGACCAGACAGAAGGAGAGAGAGAGCGAGAGAGAGAGAGAGACTAGACAGAAGGAGAGAGAGAGAGACCAGAGAGAAGGAGAGAGAGAGCGAGAGAGAGACTAGACAGAAGGAGAGAGAGAGAGACCAGAGAGAAGGAGAGAGAGAGAGAGAAGGAGAGAGAGAGAAGGAGAGAGAGACCAGACAGAAGGAGAGAGAAAGATCAGAAAGAAGGAGAGATCAAAAGAGAGAGAGATCAGACAGAATGAGAGAGAGCGAGAGAGAGAGAGACAGAGAGGGAGAAAGAGAGAGAGCCCAGTGAGAAGGAGAAAGACCAGATAGAAGGAGAGCGAGCGAGAGGGAGACAGAGAAGTCACATTTCTCCTCTTGACTCCGTCTCCTCGTAAAAATATTTCTTTATTTAGTCTCTCATCTCCAGCACAAACTCTTCTCTCTCTCTTTCGTACAAAGTCTCCATGTGAAGAATGTCTTTGAAATCTCGTTTCCATTGCGATGATCCTTATATAATGAAAACTAATACTTTGGAATGTGGCCGTGCTTCCGCTCTGCTGTGATGTCACGGTCGGGCTGATGTCGCACTGTGGGTGTGTTTCCATGTTCTTCATCATTAATTTTACGCATGTACAAAGATAATAATTAGCCGGTCACAGATGTAGGTTGGGCCTCGCTCCTCCCAGGTCCTCATTAACCACAGTAAATAAAAAGGAGGTTTTCTGTCCAGCTTCTTCACAACCTCCAGATCCTACATCCAGGTAAGACACAGATGCTATTTTTGTATTTATCTTTTCATTTTAGGATTAGCAATATATTAAAATGTGTTGTTTTGTTATTGCGAAATCTTTTTTATTGTAGAATTGTTTTGTGTTTAAATTATTGAATGCTTGAGATGAAGATTATTATAGAGGAAAGAATATTTAAAAGATTTTTATTATGAATGAGGAGTTTAATATGTGTTGTAAAAATCAAAATGGATTAATTGCTTACAGTGACAAATTTCTTGATTTCGATTTCATGTTTTAAATTAATTAACTAATTTATTTTTTTATTAAATTAAACAAAAGATAATTAATTTTAGCATCAGCAATATGTGGGATTAGTATTATTATTAAATATGTTTTCTTGTAGCATTGTTTTGTTTTTTAAATTATTGAATGCATAAGAGAAAGGTTTAATGGGTAAATATCAAAAATCTAGTGATTTTTTTATTTTATTACAATTTTTTCAATTAATTTCTAGTAAAACATGTATAAACTAATATTAAACTACACCAAATATATTTTTATTTTAACGACCTCAATATGCGGTTGTTGTATTATTATTATTATCATCATTATTATTATGAAATCTGTTATATAGTAATATTGTTTTGTGTTTAAATTATTGAATGCATTAAAGGGAGGATTTAAAAGATTATTATGAATGAGTAATTTAATGTGTGTTGTAAATATCAAACATTATTGATTCATAGTTTACAGTGAAAAATGTCCTGATTCCGATTCAATTTTCTCAATTAATTTATAAAAATCAAATCCCGTGCTGTATAAAATTTCATACATGTGTGGGGGGGGCGACAGTAGCTCAGTTGGTAGAGCATTGGCCTTAAGGCCTGAAGGTCGTGGGTTCAATTCCCACCTCTCCACCTTCTCCACCGACTCCCGCTGATGACTGCTGTCGTTGTGTCCTTGGGCAAGACACTTAACCCCACTTTGCCCAAAAGCCCCCACTGAAAGATCAAGGCTATACTCACACTCAGAGAGCAGCCGTCCTCCTGTGGACTCACCACCTGCAGAGGGTCAGTGAGGGGCTGGTGCTATGAGATTTGGGTGGCATCTCTGATTGCCACCCCCCTGACCCAGAAATGGATTAAAGGGTAGAAAATGGATGGATGGATGGACATGTGTGGGCAAAAACTTTCAATTCAATTCAATATAGTGCTGCCACGAGCCTTTGAAATCCAGATCCGTCAGACCTCAAACCTAAGCAGGAGACGTCTGGTTAGTACTGTAATGGGAGACCTGTGTGAACACCAGGTGCCACAGTGTTGAGTCTCGAATGAGTCTGCTGTGTGTGTGGATGGTTGGTGGTGGTCAGAGGGGCTGATGGCACAGACTGGATGCCTTGCCTCTGTCAGTGTGCCCCAGGGCAGCTGTGGCGTGTGTGGAGTGAATGAATAATGGCATGTGAAGTGTCTTTGAGTGTCATAATAAGTCTATATAAAACCTTTTGTATAGCACTAACTCACAACAGCAATCGTCTGCAGGACTGTACAAAGTTGTCCATTTGCCAATAACAGATCAGAGAATCAAACAAATCCGAACATAGAAAGGCAATAATAACAAACATATTGGTACGGAGGACAATGGAGTCTGTATAGAGACTGGAAAGGACTGGGTACCGTTCAGTTGGCACTTGTCCAGAACTAAACCCACTATAGAAAGTTACTCTTGGGTAAAGTTAAAGGTAAAGGATGAAAACTACACTTGAAACCTTAAAATCTTTTCTACACAGCGACGCACACAAAACAAATATGTCTAGGAACTGATACCAAAAACCAGGTATCAGTGACCGTAAAAATATATTTTAAAATACAAATTATTTTTCATCAATAAGCATGTTCTGAAAGCAAAAAAAGTAAAATATGTAATGTATTGTAATTGGTCAAGTATCGGCGTAAGGGGGAAGATAGAGAAAAAAATATATAGAAAAATACTATAAGTGAGTTCTCCTACTTTTAATCTGAGAAGTTGATAGATAAATAGAAAATGGTTGGAATTTGAACAAAATAATTATAGAAGTCATGTGAGCGATGCACTGGACTTTGATCGTCCAGTAGAATAAGTCACTGATGCAGGTAAAACAAAATGTGAATACAAAGGATGGGGGTCAAACTCATTTTGGTCAGGACCGGATTAAAAAAAAAAAAGGCTCCCAGGGGCCAAAAGTATAAAAATGTTTGAAGCTCATCTACAGTATATAGAAGTGGATATTTTCGAATTCATTTTTTTTTTTTTTTTTTTTTTTTTTTACAAATATGAAGGTATTATTTAACCTGAGTTTGGACATTTCAGAAAACAACTAGTTCAGTCACTGTTTGGACTGAACCAAAGCTGGGTTAAAAGTTGCAAGGATTGGCCAATGATTTACATTTCTTATTTAACCAGTTCTAATGACGTGCTGGGTTCAAAATGTAGAATACAATAACATATGATTTTGTTTTTGTTGAGAATATTAGCTTTAAAATTAGATATAACACGCCATAATAGCCCATATCAAGAATAGTATTAAGAGGTTCTTTATTTTTCCCACAGTGGGGGTTAATTTACCATCAATTCTGAAAGTTAACAATTAAAAATAATGTCAAGGACCACTGAAAATGGTCTGACGGGCCGCATTTGGCTCGTGGACCACGGGTTTGACATCTGGTCATGTATTATTCCTCAATAGTTGTAATATGAAAAGGCTTATTGCTGCTCCTCCTGTCTGTCCGTTTGAAGTTATGTAACAATAATACCAAAGAAAAAACACACCTAGCTAACTTATTTTATGTTACACAATAAAGATGCATTAATCCCTTCTAAAGAATAACAGGGAGGTGCATCAATGTGATTCGTACGTTCAATTCCAAAAACCAGTTTAGTCCAGGGTGTAGTTCAAAATGTCCAGTACTGATGCACAAGTAAACATAGAAACACTTTTGTATTTGCGTCAACACCGAAGCAAAACAAGATATTTTTAGGTCCCAGCTCAATTCAGTGCCAACATGAATTTCTTTTGTGTTACTTAAGGAGATACTTTCACTCCGATCGACAAGGAATCCACGAGAGATCCAACAAACTCAACTCAAAGCGCAAAGAGAACAGGTAAAAATCTGACGCACACACAAAAATCCATAAAACTTATATTTTTAGACAAGCCTATTCAATAACACCATAACTACACCATTGACAGTTAATGCTGTTTTTAACCTTGTGTTTTAACTGTTTTTAGTTGTACTTTTTAGTTGTTAATTAAGGCAAACTTGAGCACAAGGCCTAAGAAATAAAAATGTATTATTATCATTTTCCCGAACCCAGATATGGAATAATAAAGATAATGAAACATGATATGAGATATTATTATTATTATTATCATTATTATTATTATTATTACACTATGTCTTTCTAAAACCGCATCATTGACTGTGTTTTTTCTGTGTGTAGGTTCCAGAATGACTTTGGGGTTCATTGTTTTGAGCCTTCTGCTGCTGCCGACAGCGGTGACGGCGTTTCGTGTGGACCGAGAAATCACATACAATCACCAGGAGATTACAAAGAGAGCAATCTTAGAAGTCACGGTAGAAGTGTGTCGCAGTGTGGCCGAGTCCAATGGAAAAGCCTTCACTTTCCCAGTAAGTATTTTGATTCTTACTTTATACAACAACAATTTTTCTTTCCTTTTTTCCTTTCTGTGTGTTGTTTTGTTTGCTATCCCTACCCCCCTTTGCCTAAATATCTTGTTATGCTATGATGGATCTTTGATTAAAAAGAGATTAAGAATTACTTGTATTGTCCTAGCAAATAATAGAAAGCCATAAAGTATTGGTTTTGGCTCATGGTGAAAAAAGTTATAAAATAATTTTTCTAAAAAGAATGAGGCAAGCAAAAATGTAACACTATACTGTATTTGCTATATATTATTATTATTATTATTAATAAACTTTCTATTCTACCAGTCACTAGATCATGTTTAAAATTGGCACAAATAACATAAATAACCTAAACAATGTGTTATTACGACTAAACTTCATTTCTTTGACGTTAGACCAAGCCTTACACTGTGGAGAGCGTGGCGGCAGCGTGTGACATTATGGACGGACTCAAGGCGTTCCACGAAAGCGTGAAGTCGATCCTGAATGTCAACATTAAACTGGACAAAAGTGGACAGTTCGAATCCAGCGGCCATCACTTTCACAACGAGATGTTCAACGCAGGACGTGACATCATCGCGGCGGGATTAACAGCGGTGAAGGCCAACAACAAGAAAGGGAACGTGGAGACGGCCAAGCAGCAGCTGGGGAAAATCACCCACACTCTGCAGGTAGGTTACGTGCAAGATTGACGCACAAAAAACCCCCGAATATTTCCCATTCTTACATTGTTTTGTTGCTTTGAAGGATTTCTACAGTAACAGCAACTGGATAGAACTCGGCATGACAAGTCCAAATGCTGAACTGCTGAATGGAAATGGCAACGTAGGAACTGTGGCAGGTAAAAATCAATTGATCAAATGATGTTTATGAAACACACAGCAGCATAGAAACACACACACACACACACACACACACACACACACACACACACACACACACAGACATCAAACGGGTAAGATTACAAAACCTGGGAAAGATATATGGCTTTGTTGGGGTAAACCGCTAAAGTAGCACCATCTGTCAGCACTTACAGCAGGACGGGGTCTGGTTAGTACTGTGATGGGAGACCTGTTCCGAACACCAGGCGCCACAGTGGGGCGGCTGTGGCTGTAAAATACCAAACTGTTGTTGTGTCCGTGGGCAAGACACTTCACCCATATTGCCTGGAATGAGTCTGGTGTGTGTGAATGGTCGGTGGTGGTCCAAGAATCTGATGGCACAGACTGGTTGCCTTGCTTCTGCCAGTGTGCCCCAGGGCAGATGTGTATGGAGTGAAAGAATAAAAAAGCACTACATAAAACCGATGCATAATTTGAGAAAACTTTATCACAACAAATACTTTCTTCTTCCGTAGCTCTGTCACAGGCCACATGCAGAAACTGTATTGGACAATGTACCAACAACATCTTAAACAACATCATCAGAGATAAAATCCTCACCTCCGGCTACTACACTGTGGCACCGGATACCTCCAAACCCGCAGGTAAGAAAAGCTCTGAGCAACGTAAGCTAAACTACAACCACTTTGATGATCGAATCTCCAAATGACTTTGAATGTTGCAATTAATCACACAGGAAAGTGCAGCAATGGAAGCCCTATGGATGCTTCAAGGACAGTGAGCCCTACCGGAGGCATCAACAAGGACACACCAGTTTCCAGTCACGGTCACCTCCACGAAGAAGCCGCAAACATGGCTATTTCGGCCACCGTCCAGCTCCTACAGGATATCCGAGCAGCAAGCGGAGATGAAAACTTTTTACGGTAAGAAAAGCCCACAATAATAAAGTCTCAAGTTGTTAATAGTCTCCCCAACCATTTGGATCTCTTTGGAGTCCCTATATCTACTGCTTGGAACTTAAAGCTACCTCTTTGGGGAATCTCTAGCACTTGGTTTTAGGAAGTTTTACCATCAAGCTGCATCGCAACCATTTGGTAAAGGCCTATAATTGAAAAAAACGTGGTTAAAAAAGCAGAAAAACCTATAATCGGTGTTATCAGTGCTCCTACATATTAGAAAATCAAAAAAGAAAAACCGCTTTCTTCGAGGAGTGAACATTAAAGGGTTTGATCATTTGTGTTTTTTTACAGGATGATTGGAGCCACGTCTGGGAAGCCTCTGGTCTTTGCCATTGACACCACCGCTAGCATGACGCAGGATATCAAGGCAGTGCAAGTTATGACCGACACCATTATAAGCAACTCCAAAGCCGGGCTACAAGCAGAGCCTTCGGTGTACGTTCTGGTCACTTTCCACGACCCAGGTGAGAGAAAAACATTCAAATTCAATTCAATGTATTCTTGTATAGCCCTAGCTCACAACATAACCGAGAATCACAGTTAAAACACAAGAAATGCAATGATAAAAAACACATATAGCATATTTTTTCTATAAGAGGCAGATGACTAATGTCCATCAATGTTGATAAATGTCGAGTGTCCACTGCCCTTACAAAAACTTTTCTGATCCCATGTATTCTTCCAGTTAATTTGTCATTAACACAAAGCATAATTTTCTCTCCACCAGACCCCGCAACCATTTTCAAAACTACAGATTCTAAGGCGTTCACGGATAAACTTGCTGAGTTGGTTGCGTCTGGTGGTGGCGATAGAGATGAAAACTCTCTCACAGGCCTGGAGGTAGGGTCTCAATAGCTCAAGAGTCTAACATTTGACACTAGAAGAAATTCATTCTGGTGTTAAATTCACTTTTGATTGTGCTTTTCTAGTTGGCTCTGACAGGTGCTCCTCCTGGTTCAGACATATTTATGTTCACCGATGCTGGCGCCAAAGATAAAAGCAAGAAAGACAGTGTCACGGCGTTGCTTGAGCAGACCAAGTCCACGGTGAGAGATTTTTTACTTGTTTTTTTATACAAAGGCTGGTTTTTTGGCCATCAGAACACATTGTTAAGTTGGTGGATTTCAATTTATTCCAGGTGAACATTGTGTTGACTGGGAACTTCGTGGATGTGACGGAGTACAAAGCCATAACTCAAGCTTCAGGCGGACAGTTGCTCTCGGTGCCAGTGAGCGACCTGGGAAAAGCCGCCGACCTCGTGTTTGACTCGTCCTCGGCCTCTTCTATGGTAAATTTACACTTATATGCAGCAAACATACAATAAAATATAACACAACATGAATCAGACAAGCGGTAAAGATACTAGACCAAAAGGTGATTCAACAAAATAGATCCTTAGTAGATAAAAGACACACTACTTTTTTGGCTTCACATGCTGCCCAGGGGTACACTGACAGAAGTGAGGCAACCAGTATGTGCCATTGGCCTCTCCAACAACCTGCAACTATTCTCACACACACCAGACTCATTCTAGACAATGTGGGTGAAGTGTCTTGCCTAAGGGCACAACAAGGCACTTTACAGGCACCCGACTGTGGCACCTGGTGTTCTCAGAGGTCTCCCATCAAAGTACTAACCACAATTTACCCTGCTTAGCTTCAGATGTCTGCAGTAAAAAATGTACAAATGTACAACCATACATAATATCTCAATGAAAGAGATGAATGAGCAAATCGAGGCCTTAGCAGTCAATATGTATTGAAAGAAACCCAAAATAAAATAAAAAATCAACTTCTACCTCCCCCTCTAGGTCACACTTTTGGATGAAACTAGAGAATCAGGAAAGTCTGAAAACTTTACTTTCATCATGGACGAGACGACCAAAGACGTAATGGTTTACGTCACTGGACCAGTCACTAGTGTCGAGTTTGTCGATCCATCAGGTAAATATACGTTTTTAATATCAGAGGTTTTATTGTTTGGAAAAGTCAAACTTATGCACCGCACTTCGCTTTGGTTCAGGAGATAAAACAGGAGATGTAGTCGACACAAGTTCGATCGTGGGAAACTTCAGAAGAATCCACTTGAAAGAAGAAGTTGGAGAATGGCAAATGAGAGTAAAGTCTAATTTCCCGTACACCGCCAAGATTGTCGGTAAGTCCTGACTCCTGCCTCAAACTCGATCAGAAAATGTTCCGATACTGGTCTTGACGAATGGTTTGTGTCTGTTGTATTTTAAAGGGGACAGTCCATTGGATTTCATCTACGATATCATGGGACCAGCTCAGGGTCCTCTCGGAGGCACAGTTGCTCAAACCAATCGTCCCAAAGCAGGTAAATATAAAAACAGATGTATTATAGATATTGATATATATGTATTATGTATTTTTTATACTAAACTACTAGTCTTTCAACACATCTCATACTTGACATTTGGCCCAGTTGTGGTTGAATCCAAATATACTACAAAATAATTATAAAAGAAAACCACATTTATACTTCTGGCCCGTACCAGATCTTATGAGTTTGACACCCCTGTAACTTTACAAATGCTTTCTATAAAACATACATTTCTTGTTGTTTTTGAAGGCGAGAAAGCTAACGTGGAGCTGACACTGATTGGGAGCGAGACTGCGACAGTGACCGAGGTGTCGCTGCTAACTCCAAATGGAACTGTTGAAGGCAAAGTCACCAGTTTGGGGAACAAAGAATACTCAGTGGAGTTTGATCCGATGCCAGCGGGAGAGAGTCGTCTGCTCGTGAAGGGAAAGACAGGCCAGGGCTCCTCCAAAACCTTTCAGCGACTTTCACCTGCAAAAATCATGACCTCCTCCATCTCCGTTATTGCAGTAAGTATCCACGATGTACTCATATTTCCCATATTTGAATTGACAATTTACTTTTTCTTCATTGCTTTCTGTACTTGCCACAACTTGTAGTTAAAAGTAGATTAGTTCAGTTTTGTCTTCTTATATTTAGTTATGTGGCTCTTCTATACAAGATAATTTTGCTTTGTCCCATTGGCAAATCCTATTTCAATATGCGCTCATATTTAGCATATTTTATTTATTTATTTTTTATGCATTTTTATCTGTGTTTTTAAATTGCTCTTTGAATTGCCTTTTTACACAAACTCGGCTATACAAACAAATATGTTGATTAATTGATCGATTTTTAAAACATGTTACCATTACAGGAAGAGTCGAGCGGCCTGATTGAACCCGGCGCGTCAGTAAAAATGCCGTTCACCATCTCCAGCCCCAAAAAAGGAGCCTACACGATAAAGGCGTCCAACAACAAAGGGTTCCCCATGACTTTCCCGACGCGGCTGGAGATGGTCGGAAGCAGCATCGGAGGCGAAGTCGTCCTCTCTGCCCCGAGTCTGGCTCAGTCCGGCTCCGAGGTCACCGTCACCATCTCCGTGGAAGACGAAGGGAAAACAGAGATGAACTACGCCATCAGCAGCTTCACCGTGCAGAGAAAGGTACGTTTGTTTCAATGGATTGTAGAATTATGTTATTATACAACTCTGTGGGAAAAAAGCCATGTTTGGAAGAAATTCTCTGATCTGTTGTTGAGGAATCTACAACTTTGGAATGTCCTTTGAGACAACTGCTGTTTTGATTTAGGGCTACACACGAATGAACTGAATTGAAGAAAGTGCTGTATATGTTTGGACAGATCAATATTCAATAATAATTATATAAAACAAACATGTCATAGTATTTTTCTGAAAATCCTTTCTACTGGACGATTTCCAATTCTATTAAAATGTATTTTTGTGCAGCCCTTAAATAATGTCTCAGAGAACATTACAAAGTTGTTGATTTGCTAACAACAGGTCAAACACAAACAGTAGGTGCAAGATGACCAAGGTCCATAAATGATAGATCAATATGTAGATAGATAGATATATAGATAGATAGAAAGATAGAAAGATACCTGAAAAACCTTACTCATTCCAATTCTCCATTGTTGTCTCTCTGTAGGTAACAGACTTCACCAAACCAGTCTGTGAGAAGATCAGTCAGACCAGCTGCCCCGAGAGCTGCTCCTCCTCCACGTGGGAGGTCAAAGTCCGAGTCACAGACGGCGAAGGCCTGGTGACCACCTCCCTCGCTCTGGGCAACGGGACCATGACTCATTTGCCGGGGTCAGACACGGTCACCTGCGTCACGTCCTGCTGTACGAAGGAAGTGGAGATAGTGGCGGTGGATAGCGTAGGTAACGTGGCCACTTGTCGTTATACGTCCCAAAGAGCCGCTACAACGACAACAACAGCTCCCAACAACAACCTAAACAACGGCAACTTAGGATCCACATCTATGTCGCCCAAACTTGTACATTCCTCTGTCCTTTGGCTCTTTATCTGCATGGTTGGGTTTCATTTCACCAGCTGAAATACAAAAACATAGCAAAAAGAAGTGAAAGGATATTTATATAAGAGTATTTGAATAATATATAAGAGTATTTATACAGGTGAGATATGTGTTGCCTGGAGGTGGAAAGAAGTCTCAACTGCTGCTTTTATTTAATGTTTGTAAATACATGTAAACCCTGAAGAAAGATATTTAATAAAGTTATTTATATACACACTAAGCCATGTGAGTTTGGAAAGTTTTTGTGTTGAATTGTGTTGAATAAGGTGGAAAAAAGAGAGAGGTCAAATTCAGGACTGCAAAAATTCAAGATTCAAAGATAATTTAATCCATAATAACAACACAAATCCAACCGGGGAGAAAACACAATGGACTGACAACAAAAGGAGAGGAGCACATGGTTTAGATACACACAGGGCGGGGAAAGGAGACAGACACGAAGTCAAACTCATTAGAACGAATCAATTATCGATGTAAAGTCCAAAAGTACAAAAATAAATGACATTGAATTGTGTTGAATTGAATTGAAAAAAAAAATGTCCTTGCTCTCAAAAAACATTTATACTATACCATGAAATATAGATGGTCTTGGTTCAGGTGCACTGCCTGAAAGATGCAGCTGGGGGCGCCCTCGGGCACTGGAGGGAGTCTGGTTTTCAAGGACCTCTGCACTGTGTGGCCCCTTCACTGAATATCTAGTAAATTAATGAACTATACATTAAAATGAAATCAATTATAGATTTGACACTCGACATTCACCTGCCCCTGGCTCTGTGGTACTTTTATCATTATTTATTTCTTGTGTTTGAACCGTTTGATTCTCTGATCTGTGTTGGCAAATTCAACGGTTTTGTAAAGTCCAAGATGCTGTTGTGATTTAAGGTTGGACAATTTGTATTTGTATTTATTTGATCTCCATTAGTTGTAACAAGTACATCTATTCTTCCTGGAGTCAGTCCAGCATGCTGGTCACAAAACATGTTTTACACCAGTTTTCACCAACAAGTGATACAATAAAAGACACCCCCCACCCCCACCCACACACACACAACATATATTCTTACATACACACGCAACTGTACAAAGGACCTAGAAATATTCTGACGAAAAACAAAACGGAGATTAATCTGACTCTTAGCAGCAAAATATTTGGTCACATAACACAACTTTTCAAAATCAACCAGTTACATGAAACAGATGTCTTTTCAGAAGGGCCTTAAATTGGTACTTACTGTTTGCATGAGTAATGTCACTGGGCAAAGTGTTCCAACCACACATGGCTCTATACATTACAGTATTTCTTCCGTTGTTAGTTCTTACTTTGGGCAGTTTAAATCTGCCCTCTGTGGCATGTCTGGTTTCATAATGATGCTCTTCAATCTCTACATGCTGCCGTTAGGTCAGTTAATACGCAGAAACGAAGTTTCCTATCATAACTATGCAGACGACACTCAGATCTATGTCTCACTGACTGCAGGAGAACATGGACCAGTGGACTCACTCCTTCACTGTATCCAACAGATCAGTGAGTGGATGCAAAACAACTTCCTTCAGCTAAACGCAGACAAAACTGAAATGATTGTCTTTGGTCCCCAGAAACAAAGAGAGAGCGTCATCTGTCACCTACAGTCTCTCTCCCTAAAACCTTCAAACAAGGTCAGAAATCTAGGGGTAATACTGGACTCAGACTTAAATTTTAATAGCCACATCAAATCAGTAACATCAGCAGCTTTCTACCATCTAAAAAACATTGCCAGGATCAAAAACATAGTGTCTAAAGCAGACCTGGAGCCCTTATCCATGCATTTGTCTCCAGTAGGTTAGACTACTGCAATGGCCTGCTCACAGGTCTGTCCAAACAGGCTGTAAAACAGCTGCAGTACATTCAAAATGCAGCAGCTCGAGTCCTGACTAGAACCAGGAAGTACGACCACATTAGTCCTGACTAGAACCAGGAAGTACGACCACATTAGTCCAGTCCTCAGGTCTCTGCACTGGCTTCCTGTGGCTCAGAGAATAGACTTTAAAACAGCTCTGCTTGTGTACAAGTCTCTCCATGGCCTCGCACCAAAATATATTAGTGACATGTTAGTCCCATATGAACCAGCCCGGACTCTGAGGAGCACAGGGACTGGACTCCTGTTAGTGCCCAGAGTCAGAACTAAACATGGGGAGGCTGCTTTTCAGATTCATGCTGCTAAAATCTGGAACAGTCTTCCTGAAGATGTGAGACAGGCCTCCTCTCTGACAATGTTTAAAACCAGGTTAAAGACAGTTCTGTTTAGCTGTGCATACAACTGAGGGATTTTATATTTTTATTTTCCTTTTTAATGTTCTGTGATTATTTATGATTTTAATGCTTTGTTTTGTTCAGCACTTTGAATTGCCTTGTGTATGAATTGTGCTATATAAATAAACTTGCCTTGCCTTGCCTTACTGTATTGAAAGTATCCATACTGCACTTGTGCCTGCTGCAGTGATAATCCATAACGCCTGTTCATATCATTTATATTTAGATCATTTGAAATCGGTCAGAAATAACCACTGCGCTCAATAACTGTGGACACTCTGTTATGTTTCCTCTAAAGCTGAGGTACGTAACTTTGTAAATGTGAAAGAAAGAGCCGTGTGAGTCACTATTTGAGGCTTTGGGCTGATTTTTAACTTTTCTGTCTGAAAAAACTGTTCTAAAGATACACGCGTGTGAAAACTAGGCCTTTAATCAAACGCTTTGAAAGAGAAGAATCTTGACTTTTTTACATTGTTCCATCTGTTTTGCAGTTTTGAAGTTAGGTACCCCAGCTTTATGTTGACAATTTGAGAAAACTATGCATTTTTCAACCTAGTTCTGGTAGTTTTTAGCATAGAGGGAGTTTGTTTTGAAACTTCTTATTTGGATTCCCACTAGAGGAAACAAAATCAAAGCAACAATTGTGGAATGAATTAATAGAGGAATTAGAAAATAACTATAAGATGAAAAACAAAAAATATTTTTTTAAACAGATAAAATTAAAATAAAAACAGTTTGAAGGAGGAGAGCTGAAGTCCATCTTAATTATTTTTGTTTTAAGAAAGGGGCAGGTAACGTGAGATTTGGTTTTCTTTTTTCTGCTCCTTTTCATTAGTGTGACAAGACTACAATTATTTGAAATGTAATTGTAAAAATCTTGTTTGAAAAAATTTCACTGATTTCAATAACCATGAAGAATTTTATACTTTCCAGGTTATTCAAGCTTCTCGACAAGAAGTGCGAGCCCATCACAATGACAGTGCCTCGAAAAGTAAGGATCCATTCTCTGCGTCTCTGTGTTTCCCAAACCGGGGTGTGGGCACCAACTACCAGAGGGAACTAGGAATGGTTTCAGATTAATAACAGATTACATGTATTAGAATCATTTCAATAGTGTTTGAATAATGTACTGTTAATTTCAAATCATTGAGAAGGATTTGGATATGTCAAACCCTGCTAGCTTCCTGAACCCTGAAATGGCTTATGGGTAAAATGTTGCTATTTAATAATGTGATTTTCCACACCTATTGGTTTTAATGTGTTATTCCACTTGTAAATTCATATATGACTAGCTATAACTGACCAATCAGGAGGCAGAATTCAGCTTTGGCAAATAACACAAGTGGGACCAGACCAGCTTCTCATCTGGTTGGCTCCTTGGTTGCTAAGAGGTTGCTATGAGGTAATTTGACTCTAAATGTTGTGTGGTAGAGTTGGTTCTAAAGGATTTCTTCTGTTGAAAAAAGCAAACATGAGTGAGACTTCAGCACTTACTCTTTGCGTTTTTTTCACCAGTTTGAAATATAGTTTTTTATGAAGTCCCAAGGAACTGACGTCACATAAAAATCTCCCAAACATTGACCTTATATTACAGAAGAGAACAAATAAAATCACAAAAAATGCACATTATTGGCACACTTTATTGGAAGCAGGATGAGCAGTGTCCATAAATGTCCTTAAAAATAATCAATTAACTCTGTTAGTATTAGATAGCAATATGGCCTACGTGCAGGACTGTACAAGGACTCCATGTTATGACTATGATGTGACTGTCTCTTTGTGACACGTATGTCTTTCGATGTGTGACGTGACAATGACTATATAAACTGTGTACTGCCTTTATTCTGTCTGAGAGAAAGAAACAGAGTAAACCAGTGGAACTTGAGAGAAACTTAAATAAACTTCCAGAGTTTGGCACACCACGATCCGTCTCTGTCTGCTTCATCCTAACAGATTTGGTGGAGAATGCGCGGCTCGGTGTGTGCCATTCTCTGGATTGTTTTGAGGGAATTTCCTCTGTTTCTTTTTTTCGGCGTGTGGGAGCAACAGCACGTTGCACGAGAAATCCCAGTGAACGCTGAAAGGGCTCGCTTTTGGATGGGCTTGCTCTTGCTCCCTCACTTTCTCTGTTTTGTGTTTAAATTGAATTTTTTGACGCGGAAAAGATGTTGGTCGACCTCTCGAACAGTCCGGACAAAGAAAATAAGGTAAGCAGACACCTTTTTTAATATGTAAAGTCTGCATAATTGGATACTAGCTAAATTTTGAGCTGTCCGGGAGGTCTGTCCAAATCTCTCTAAATCAAATTTTCTTTGTTGTGTCTTTGTCACGTCTTTGTCATGTCTTATGTTGTAGAAAACAGGTTAGCTGTGTGGGTAACCAGTCCCTATAGGAGAAAGGAACCCCTGACGTATCGGGGTCCCTGTCCTTTGAAGTAGTCAGGACAGAGAGAAAAAGGAACCCCTGATGTATCGGGGTCCCTGTCCTTTGAAGTAGTCAGGACAGAGAGAAAAAGGAACCCCTGACGTATCGGGGTCCCTGTCCTTTGAAGTAGTCAGGACAGAGAGAAAAAAAGGAACCCCTGACGTATCGGGGTCCCTGTCCTTTGGAGTAGTCAGGACAGAGAGAAAAAAAGGAACCCCTGACGTATCGGGGTCCCTGCCTTTGAAGTAGTCAGGACAGAGAGAAAAAGGAACCCCTGACGTATCGGGGTCCCTGCCTTTGGAGTAGCCGGGGCAGAGAATAGAGAATAGAAAATAGTTAGTGAAACCATGGTGTAAAATTAAAAGTAATTATAAAAAGGGAAACGTTAAACACTAGTGCCTTTTGTTACAAGTGTTGAAAGTGATCATTTCTAGACTTGGATGACAAAAGTTTAAAGAACAACATCAGTTATATTCGCTTTAAAAAGTAATCTTGAAAGTTATTCTTCTTTCTGTTTTAGCATTTTTGCTAAAACACTACTTTCTGTCTGTGTGTGTGCCGCACTATCTTGCTGCCGTTGTCAGGGGAAACGGCCCCCTCCTTTGCTACTCTGGCTCTGAATCAGAGCAAAGCTACTGCTTTTAGGATTTTGGCTTTTATTAAGTTTTTAAATTTGCTAAATTTGCAATTGAACATTGTGTTAGACACAGTTAAACGTTTTTAAACACCATTAGTGAATAAGTTTTGAATATTATATGTTTTTTGAAACCCAAATATTAGTGCTAAAAGCTGTGCAATTCTTTTTAGACCTAACATATTTCTAGATTCCATTCTTTTAAATCTGCTGCTTATTTTGTGAGTCCATTATTGTATCTCTGATATATTTCATAGCTGTTTGTGAGAATTTTTTTATGTTTTTATTTTAGTTACAAAAGCCGTTTTTCAAACATTTAAATTAGAATCTGTGTTAAAAGTGCTTATTGATTATAGACTTTCGTCCAATTCACCCATTGCAAGCTGTGACGTTTTTGTTTTGACTACACGCCTGACCTTCCTCCTGCTGCCCAGAGACAGGAGGAGGCAGCTCCGACGCACAATTGAGTTTTATTGAACCAAATCCAGTTTAGCTGGAGCTAAATCTTTTGTTTGATTTCAAGTTTTGTTTTAAATGTTTTTACAAAATTAATGTTCATTTCTATAGAGATTTTTCATAATTTCATTTCATGGCGTCTTTCAAGAAACCCAAGGACGCATAGATAATTACCCACTAAGCAAGCCGACGTTGAATCAACGTAATTTGAACGTCGTTGTCCGACGTAGAATATAGGTCACTGGTGGGTGCAGAATGAAAGTTTTCTCGACGTCGTTTCCCGACGTCACCTCAACCTCCAAATGTTACGTTGATGGCACGTCAATTCAAGGTTTGAATGTGGTACGGAACCGGTCGGGTCTGACGTCCTATCAACGTCTCAAATGACCAAAATATTGACGTTTATATGACGTTCGTTTTCAGTCGTTCCCACTAAGCAAGCAGATGTCAAAACTATGTCATTTCAACGTCATCTTGACGTTCATTCAAGGTTGCAATGTGGTACAGAACCGGTCGGGTCCGACGTCCTATCAACGTCTTATATGACCAAAATATTGCCTTCATATGACGTTCGTTTTCCGTTGTTCCCACTAAGCAAGCAGATGTCAAAACTATGTCATTTCAACGTCATCTGGACGTTATCTGGACGTTCATTCAAGGTTGCAATGTGGTACAGAACCGGTCGGGTCCGACGTCCTCTCGACGTCTTATATGACCAAAATATTGACGTTTATATGACGTCCATTTACAGTCCTATTGACCTACTTAACCTCTGCAGAATCACTCACTGGTCGAGACATACTTTTTGCAATAGGCAAGGCAAGTTTATTTGTATAGCACAGTCAAAACAAAAGGAAACTCAAAGCACTGAACAAAAGATAGAAACAATCAAACAAGGCATTACAATTATAAATATTGACAGTAAATTAAAAAGATACAAATAAAATCTCTCATAAAATCTCTCAGTTGAAGCAGAAACAGAAGTGTTTTAAACCTGGATTTTAACATTGTCAAAGAAGAAGCCTGTCTCACATTTCCAGGAAGACCGTTCCAGATTTTAGCCTTGTGAATCTGAAATGCAGCTATATCATGTTTAGTTCTGACTCTGGGCAATAAACGATAAACACAGCATTCAAAAATCATTAGAACAACTGTAGTAGAAGGATATCAGTCATTATTGCAAATGGAGCTGCATTAAAAATCATGTTTCTCTACATCAAAGTACAAGTTAAAGCACACAGGGCACAGTGTTATGAACACTACTGTACTGAACAGTTCATGCCAAAGTAAAAAAACATGATTGTAGCGCCTATGTTTGGATCAGTATTAAAACAGGCACAAGCTACACTGTAAAATGATGTAAAAACACAATCTGAAAGGCAGAAGAATGCATTTATTGAATGTTGATGTTCCAACATGTGTCCTCTCTTGGTCTTCAGTCTCTCATCACAAGGTCCAAGCACAGCACCTGAAAATGTGGAACATGTTTAGTTTCAACGTAATGTGGCAAAGTGATATAACAACACATAACTTTCTATTAATGCCTCAAACCACTCGATCCATCACCATGTGATACAAACCTTGGCACTGCACTAGCTCGAGACACTGGAAGACACTCCGTCTGAGAAACTTGGGATAAGGCTTTGGTCATTGGAGTAATTCCATGTAAAAAACAATTGCAAATGTGCATTTGTTTTGCACATGGACACAAATGAGCCCTGAAAGCTACTTACCCTGTATTACTCTACACATGTTGCATTTCCGAGGGGGCATTTTCCCCTTGTTGCTCTTTTCCCTCATCTTGAGTGAGTTGCTGAACAATCTGAGAAAAAGACAGATGTTTTCAAAGAGAATACACCAAATAATGGTTTATTCTAAAAACAACATAATACAGAAGAACAATCAATGTGTGAGAGTGTGATTCTTACCTTTGAACACCTTCAACACAGTCTGACACCTGTAAGACTGAAACACACATGACACATTAGGAATACACACAGAACATTAGTTATTGCAACAATCATGAAATTATACTCTATGGATTTCACAATAATTGACTGCATTAGCAAAGGTAAATGTATTTTAATTAACATATGGCTGGTTTTAAAGTTTATAAGAAAAATAAATTGAATAGAGTTACAAGCGCTAGTTAGCTTGCTACCAGCAGATGAATGGATATTTAATATTTGCAGCTAACAATAACAAAAATAACAACTGTAGTGGCTCATTTAAACAGCCACAGTGAGAAGAAGTGAAAGTCTCTGACATGGAAGATTTAATGGGAAGACATTAAATCCATTTATTAAACAAAGCAATACACGAACATTAAACTCTCTTTCTGCAGCAGGTAAAATCTGTGTGCTCCTATGGTCCCACATGGTCCCACACCTGAACTCAACTCCAACTGATGACATCACAGGTGTCTAAATGATGGGAGTGTCCCAAATATTAAAGCTGATCTCCCTGTTTTTAAACTTAGTTTACTAAGTACTGTTGTCTTTTTGCAGTTTATAAACCATTGTGAAATATACAGTAACTTTACATTTTGGAATTGAATTATTATTTTAAAACTCAAGAATCTTAACCTTTTTTAACACATAGTTTGTTGGACAGTCTGACCTAAGCATTCTAATGTGTTAAAAATAGTTTGAAATATGAAAAACAATATCATATTTTAAACTTTAACTTAAAAACTAAAAAAAGGTGTCTCCCTTTCAGCTGAACAGTGCCAGCCGTTATTATTATAGATTCATGCACTGGCAATTCAAAATACAGATAATATACAAAATATACTTAACAAAATCCACGTATACGTGAGAAAACAACTTACTTTCTGTCTCCAACTCTTTTCAAAGTGGAAATGATACATCTATATCTAAAAACTGTGCAGACTGTGTACTTACTAGAGAGGGTGATTCCAATATCAACGTCTGGGAAGGCATTGCTTTACGTCCAGACCTTACGTCGTTTAGACGTGGAAAACAGGTCCTCGAGCGACTCACGTGTCAAGCTGTAACCTTGCATAAGTGTGCGTTGGTTGTTTAGGGTGTTATCTATTATTTTTTCCCAGTAGTCACAAAAAATGCCTGGCCGTGGTGTAGCGGTTGCGTAATGAGACTTCAGTCACAACGACGCGGGTTCAAATCCCCGTCGGAAGTTTTTTGACTTTTCACTTTTTAGCGAACAATTTTTCTGTTTGGTTAAAAACGAATAAACACTCAACATAAGATTATGTAGTGGCTAATAATAAAACTTGTGAACCCATGCATTTGCATAAAATCAAGTGCTCACCCCTTATTTTCAAACTTGAGATTGTTAGCACAACAAATGCATACATTCACAAGTTTTATTATTAGCCACTACGTAATCCTATGTTGAGTGTTTATTAGTCTTTAACCAAACAGAAAAAAATAGTTCGTTAAAAATCAAAACAAATATGTAAAGATAGTAATACACACACGTGGGCTCGAACTCACGTAATCAAGGCTGCACACATTTGCTTAACCACTACACTACCGTCAGGTACACTTACATTGCTTCACAGCCTATATATTGTATTGCTAGATCAAGACGTACTGCGTCGGTCGGCCGATGACCTGTTTTCGACGTCTAGGGGAGGTCGGGATTGGACGTCATATCCACGTATATGGGAGGTCATTGTTTTACGTCCAGATGCGCACCTTGCACAGACGTCGTTTGGACGTAAATAAAAGGTCACGACCGACCGACGCGATATTGACGTGATCTGGAGGTTGAGTGGACGTCGGATGTTTAGTGGGTAAACACACAGTACAAAAGTACATAATACATATTTTAAAGTTTGAAGGTTTAAGAGATTTGAGTCTTGTTTTTTATTAAGAGAGTTTCTGGTTTTAAAATGTCATCATTAGTAAGATAATAAGTAATCTTTATTTACATAGCGCATGTGGGAAAGCCCAGAGCGCTCCAAAATTGTTTTGACTTCAGAGAGAAAAACAATCTCATTCGCATACTGATATCTATTGTTGTTTTTAAATTGACCGTCTCAAGGATTGTTTTTCAGACTCTGCCACACTGTACGAGAGGTCACTGCTGGACACTGGACACCAAATCCCACCCAGCCACAGGCCACAGAGCTAAGAGCAAAGGGCAACAATGCCACCTCTACGCCCCTCCCCCCACTACAGAAGTAAGTGGGAGTGAGACCGGGGCCATGAAAGTGGAGGTTTCTGGAGACGTGATGGGTGGAGGCCTCAGGTAGAGACCTAGAGGCAGTTGAAAGTGTGTCCACGTGGTTACATCACCACAGTGTGACCTTTGAGACCTACAGGTGGTTCGAGGAGTCTGGAGACACAACCCCAAAATTCACATACACACACACACACACACACACACACACACACATTCATACACTCACACATTCACATTTACATATAGATACATGAAAAAGCAGAACATGAGAAAAAAGCATTTTAAAAGTTTACTCCAATGTAAACAAATATTTTTTATTGTCTATCACTTGAATCAGTATTTTTTGAGACCAGAAATGTTCATTTGAATTCTATATTGTCATGGACTTAATTGACGTCTGTCCTGACACTTTTTATTTGTTGATTTTGTACTGTGTGAAGTAATTACATTGATTAGGATTAGAATCAAAGTGACTAACCATAGAGAGTAACTATTGCATAACAAGCTGTGTACAGGAACTGTGACACTGCACCATTGACCAGAAGTGCATCGCAAATGACCTGATGTGCGCTTCGAGTGAAAAGACTGTATCTGGAGATTGCATCTGGAGAGACCAGAACCATGGCTTGGACCCTACTGATGTCCAAGATGACATCTCTCGAAATATGACCTGACCTGATGACGACTGAGACTCACCCTCAGGGGACCCTGAGGACCTGAGGATCTGAGGACCTGAGAGAGGAAAAACTGGGGAGTGATGTTTATATTATTAAAATCATACATTGATGAGTGCTAAATGAGAGAGATACTCATGATTCTTTCTTTTGTTTTTGTTTGTCCCTAGCTTCTGGACATCTGATGATCTATTGGACACAGCCATTTGCAGAACAAGAACCAGCCAACGAAAATCGTCTATTGCCGATGCTATTGCTACAACCAGAACCTGTGACCAAATGCAATATATAAGACGGCGAAACGCTGAACCACAAAATTGTCGTCGCCGGTCGGAGTCTCGGCCTCGATGGTCAGGGTCACGTCGCTGCCCGAGCGTGTGTTGAGCGGCGCCGAGAGGGTCACGGTGCCGTTGGTGCTGTTCCCGCTGTCGATCATCAAGACGCTCGGGAAAGTCGAGGCAAAACCACGGTTGTTGGTGACTCTGATGGTGATGTTTACTCCTACCTCAGCGCTGGACACAGAGAAGGGCACCACAAAGGGCGTTCCTGGGGTCAACAGACTGTCTGCACTGGCCTGGAAATAGAAGAAAATAATCATTAATAATAAAAGAAGTGCTTGGTTAAGATAGAAAGTTGTAAGATTGTCCAGATGCGACGAATTGTCCGACCAGCCAGACACTTCTACATTTTAACCTGGATGTTCAAATGAATTTAACCCTTTAATGTTCACTCCTTGAAGAAAGCAAAGTACATTGATTGGGTGTATTTCGACTGCTTAACTGGTTGACATAAATCTAGAACATCCAGATCCGGCCCGCAAATGAATTATCTTGGCCACCGGGGTGACATTTTATTAGTATTAGAACTGGCCCGCGCAAAGCCATGAGAAAATATTGGTTTATTAAGTTCATGTTCAGTGTTTTCACTTTGAAGGAAGTTTGATTTTGTCTGTGAGCCTGTTGAAAAATAAAATGCGGTACACTCTGTTAGGTCTCGGTTCAGTAGGTTATATGCAATCATTTTAATATGTTTTAATAAACTTTGAACCAGTCTGGCCTTCGGTTTGATGCAATTTAGTTTTTCGGCCCTCTGATGCATTTGACTTTGACATCCCTGATCTAGAACATGGGCGTCAAAGTCAAGTTAGTATTAGAACCGGCCCACACAGAGCCATAAGAGAATATTGGATTATTAAATTCTGTTTGCAAATCCCTGGAATAAACTTCATGCTTTGTTTGATAGAACCTGCTTATTCCTAGTTCTGTCCAGTCTAAGCTTGTACTAAAGTGTTCTAACTGACAGTGATTGGCCAGAGTGCTAATGGAAGTGATTCCAACGGATACTGGTTTGTTGTGGGTAGGTTGTTAGGATGCGGTGAAAGCCTGAACACGCACACACACACGCACACAGGCACACGCACTTCTAAAATGAAACACATACACTGATGGTGAGATTGGAGGAGGTGAAGCTGGTGGAGGACTGGCGCTGGAACACAGAGGAGTCTTTTGTCCCTTTGACCCGCACCACAAACTGTCCTGCTGGGATGGTGGAGAAGTGGACCATGTAGCTCCCCTCCTGGGCCTTCACGGTCCCAGAGACTGAGTTTGTGCCCTGAGCCTCCACCAGAGCCACCTCCGTCACCTTCGCAGAGTCACTGCCAGTCAGCGTCACCACAACACTCCCCTCCACTCCTACAACACAAATACAGTGCCTTGCGAAAGTATTCGGCCCCCTTGAACCTTTCAACATTTCGCCACATTTCAGGCTTCAAACATAAAGATATAAAATTTTAATTTTTTGTCAAGAATCAACAACAAGTGGGACACAGTCGTGAAGTGGAACGAAATGTATTGGATAATTTAAACTTTTTTAACCCTTTAAGCGCCAAAGTCGCAATATTTCGACAAGCAACATTGCTCACTTAAACAGGCTGTATCTAAAAATGTGGTGCAGAATCTTGTTAATACTTTTCACCAGGGGTTAGTGGACATGTGTGCCTGTAATATGAGCAACATTTGTGGGTGTGGTTATATTGAAAGTTTTTGAGTAAATTGAGTTCGTAAAACACCTGCGGCGCTGCAGCGCGGAGCAAGTGTATCTGTCTGCGGCCTGCAGTACGGAGGCGTGTCGAGTAGTAGGCGTGTCGGGTAGTGACGTCACTACTCGACACGCCCACTCCGCGTGTATGAGCATGGATCTATTATAATACGGGTATGAGTAGTAGTGAGTACTATCTATGCCCAATGAATTTATGCGCAATAATGAATTTTATGGCGCATGTCATTGTCAATATTATTTATTGGGGGGAAATGGACGAATTTTGTAAATATCAAAGTAGTAAATTTGCCTACAAAAGCTGCCATTACTTCAGACTATCAATCAATAGGGATTTGAAGCAGCTCAGGACAAAAGTTAATGAGTCAAATAATGCCAGTGCTTATGTCTAATGTGTACATTCATTTATAAAAGGGGCCTATGGTTGGTGGCTCAAATCCTGGCTGCCCCAAGTGCAGTCTGGTATGTTCTTGAGCAATGCACTTCACCCACATGTGTGGACATAGTGAGAGACTGCTTGGTGGTGGCCAATAGCACAGATTAGTAGCCTGGCATCCTCCAACCCAGCTGTGACACACTGTGTGGAATAAATGAATAAAGACTAGTGTGGCGTTTTGAGAAACTTGTCAACACAGGATTGAAAAGTACATTACAAGTTAAAGATATTATTGCACCACCACCACCACCACACACTCCTACACCCATGGTCTCCACATTACTGATCATAAAGAGAACATGCCATGACATTTTTGTGCCCAACTTTGGCCTTTTGGGACAAGCAGACATTCATTAATATTGTGTTTTGTCAAATTTGTATGTAGAAGAGGGAGATTAAACAAAAAGAACAAATTGTTTTCTGGCATTTTATGTACATGCTTTTTTATGAATTTGTGTTATCTGAATGGCTCTGAAATGTAGACACTGAATAAGTTCAACACAAAACAAATATTGCAACAAATTCTCTTTTATTATAATCGTGAGAGAAAGGCTTCAGAGGAGAGCGCCAATCTCCATCTCTCTTGGAAAGCTTTCAGCCTCCCTGCTGCCTCCTCTGGTAAATGCCTCACCAGATCATTTGCAATCATTTTAAACTCACTGTCCATAAAGAATAATCACAGATTAGATTGTGCAGTGCACAGTGAAATATGTCCATCAATATTTAAATAATCTTACCATGGTTCATACTTTGGCCCCTTTATGAATTTTGCTGAGGCAGGTGAAATGCCTCGGCCAGAGTGTGAACTGTCACCTAGATAAGAGTAAAATGTGTTACATTCAACAACAACAGTTCACAAAACCAAATGCAGCCCTAAAAGGTGTTGTGTCCTGTTTAATATATTGTCAGTGACTTGCACTTATGACTTTATGGTCTCTGTACATCAACAATGTTGATGTACAGAGACACCTCTCCCTCCCCCACCCCCCACTACTCTAACGCCCTGCCCCCAGCCTAACAATAGCCGCTAAAGAGATTAAACAACTCTTCTTGAGGCTGCACCCCCGCAAAGCTCCTGGCCCGGACCACGTGTCTCGGCCTGCTTCAAATCCTCCATCATTGTCCCCGTCCCGAAGAAGCCCAGGATCACAGGACTCAATGACTACAGACCTGTAGCACTTACGTCTGTCGTCATGAAGTCATTTGAACGCCTGGTTCTCTCCCATCTCAAGTCCTTCACCTCCCCCCTCCTGGACCCCCTGCAGTTCGCCTACAGAGCCAACAGATCTGTAGACGACGCCATTAACCTGGCCCTCCACCACATCCTACAGCACCTGGACTCCCCGGGGACCTACGCCAGGGTCCTGTTCGTGGACTTCAGCTCTGCCTTCAACACAATCCTGCCATCCCTGCTCCAGGACAAGCTCTCCCAGCTCAACGTGCCCGATTCCACCTGCAGGTGGATCACTGACTTCCTGACGGACAGGAAGCAGCGAGTGCGTTTGGGGAAGAATGTCTCAGACTCTCGGATTATAAATACAGGAGCCCCACAGGGCTGTGTTCTTTCTCCCCTGCTCTTCTCCCTGTACACCAACCACTGCACCTCCAGCCACGACTCTGTGAAAATGATCAACTTCGCGGACGACACCACCCTCATTGGACTCATCTCCAACAACGATGAGTCCGCCTACAGGAGGGAGGTGGACCGGCTGGTGTCCTGGTGCAGTGGTAACAACCTGGAGCTGAACGCCCAGAAGACAGTGGAGATGATTGTGGACTTCAGGAAGAGCGCTGTCCCCCCGCCTCCACCCTCCGTGATGGACTCCCCCATCACCTCTGTGGAGTCCTTCCGTTTCCTGGGCACAACCATCACCCAGGACCTCAAGTGGGAGCCGACCATCAGCTCCCTCATCAAGAAGGCCCAGCAGAGGATGTACTTCCTGCGGCAGCTCAGGAAAGCCAAGCTGCAGTTCTACACGGCCATCATCGAGTCCATCCTCACCTCCTCCATCACCTCCTCCATCACCGTGTGGTTCGCTGGAGCCACAGTCAGGGACAAACAGAGACTACAGCGCATTGTGCGCTCTGCAGAGGAAGTGATCGGCCGCAGCCTTCCATCGCTGCAGGACCTGTACGTCGCCCGAGCTCGAGGTCGGGCTGGTCGTATCACAGCCGACCCCTCTCACCCTGCACATGGACTATTCCAACCACTCCCCTCAGGCAGGAGACTGCGGTCCATCAGGACCAGAACCTCCCGCCACAAGAACAGTTTCTTCCCCTCTGCTGTTGGACTCTTGAACACTTCTTAACCTGTCCCCCCGCCCTTTATAAAGTCACTTTACTGCCCATCATACGTCACTTTACTTCACTGTACTGCTGTCACCTTACATTGTGTAAGGTGTGCAATATTGTGCACTTGTATATTGTAAATAGTAACTGTAACTCTATTTTAAATTTAAATTTATTCTTTAGAAGTGTTTTTTATTCTTATTTTTATTATCTCTTTTTGACTGTTGCACTGAGCCAAAGCAATTTCCAAGTCTGTGACCTCCTGTTACTTACGTGGCAATAAAAATGATTCTGATTCTGATGTTGCAATGCAGAGTTTTTAGTACAGTGTACGTCCAGGAAACATGTACCATGACATGTTTATGTTTGAGGGGGGTTCAGTGTTTTATGCACACTTTCATTATAATATTCCCTGTGCCAGCCTGGTGGCGCTCGGGCCTACAAATGTAAAACAAACATTATATAAATCATGCTATACTTCCGGTAAGAGCGTGTAGACCAATCAGAAAGGAAGGGGGAGGGAGCTTGGGTTGTTTTTTTTCAAATCAAGTACCTCTCTGTCTCTCTTTCTGACAAACTCTAGACAATCACTTTAAAGAACAAATTTACAATATTGCACAACACCTGGATTCGAAGTTAAAACATACCTCCATGACAAACAGATGCCCTTTCATGGGTTTGCACTAGAGCTGCAACTAACGTTTATTTTGTAATCGATTAATCTATCGATTATTTTTACGATTAATTGAGTAATCGCTTGGCTGTGAATTGTGTAGAAAAAAAATATTTTTTCATCACAAAAAGCTAAAGTGGCAACACTCGAGGACGTATTGATGGCGTAAACTTAAAGTAAATGTTTGTAACAGGCTCTTTGTGCTAATTCTGCTCTGATTGGATGAGACAGACAGAAATTATAAAAACAAAGTCGGTTTTAATCAAAAATACTACATTTTCATGTCATTTTTGCTCTGTTTGAGTCCGTGTGAACCAGAAAACGATTAATCGATTACTAAAATAGTTGTCGACTATTTCAATAATCGATTAGTCGTCGATTAATCGATTAGTTGTTTCAGCCCTAGTTTGCACGTGTGTGAGCATTTGTGCTTCTCCGCCATGTTTAAAACAGGTTACACACGTGAGCGTGTTCCCCTGCTTCAGCACTGGAGCATGATTCCCATCACTGACAATAGTCGGATGCAACTGAAAGCAGACATAAACATCCATTTGTGCACACTCAGAAACACAAATATCTTGGAACATCATCCAATAACTATGGTCAGTGACTTCTGTAACTGTGATAGGAAACATTGTGAGCTACATCACATAATTGCCTAACTAATTCTCCACTGTTGTTGGAAAACATGTAAAGAGTTATGTTTTTCTCCTTATTACCATTTTAACGATGCAAAATGACTTGGGCAATATTATATTGTATATATTATACTATGTACCTATTATACTATGTACCTGACATGTCGATGGCACATGGACTCTTAGAAGAAACCCATACGAATTGCTTTCTCTGCAATGTATTAGTTCACTTCTTAAAAAACATTTCTAGTCAGGGTGATGTGCATTTATTCATTAATACACTGTAACTTGAGGGACGGCCTAAAAATACACGTTTTTACACGTGTTACACGTTGTTGGTTGACACTTACAGTTTGCGTACGGTCTGCCATGTCTTCTCTTCAACGGATATACTTGCAGAAGTTCAAGTGGATTCAAAATTCATGTAGTAGGCGTGTCGGGTAGTGGCGTCACTACTCGACACGCCTCCGTACTGCAAGCCGCAGACAGACCCTCTCGCGCGGAGGCGAAGCAGCAGCAGTAGAGCTGAGAGGAGCGAGAGCAGAGCAGAGGGAGAGAGTGTTTTTTATTTTACTCACGAGGTCTTCAGTACCAGAGAAGTACTTGGTCTGGTACTGGCTCACTCAGATTCAGAGGAGGAAGACACACAGGTGTCCAGTGAAGCAGACACGGACATTATTGGTGACGGGGAGACCGCGCTCCATAGTCCACAATCAGCCCCTGTGCAGCGGCTGCTTGTCCTCCGTGTGGCCGCGGTAGAAGCATTCTGAGAACGCCAAGCAGGGTCCGTGGTGGAGGGGACAGGGGCATCATAACACCGGGCATGTGGAAGAAAGTAGTGGGGGTAGACATCCACGGGAACACGGGAGACGCGGGAGAAGTCGCGGGAGAGCCGCGGGGAAAAAAACACATCGCTAATCGCGTTCACTGCCTTTACCAACAGCGATGATGAGGATGAAGGCAGTTCTTGAGAGAAAATAATCCACAAAAGTGGATCAGAAGTGTTGAAGAGCCTGTTGTATGTTGTTGAGACGATCTGACAAGTTCTGAGCCCATTCATTTCATCTCTCTGTTTCTAAACGGTAAATCCTGGAGCCTCATTTCCACTGAGAAAAATAGTAAGCCCACTACTTCTCTGAAAGGGAAGTATTGAAACCAATCTCAAGATTTCATGACTGTAAACTTTAAAGAGTGCTGTCTTGATCACTGAAGGTCTTTGAAAATAATACAATTCCATCCATCCATCCATCCATTGTTTCCGCTTTATCCGTTGCCGGGTCGCGGGGGCAGCAGTCTAAGCAGAGACGCCCAGACTTCCCTATCCACACACACCTCCTCCAGCTCGTCCGGGGGGACCCCTAGGCGTTCCCAGGCCAGCTGAGAGACATAGTCTCTCCAGCGTGTCCTGGGTCTTCCCCGGGGCCTCCTCCCGGTGGGACGTGCCCGGAACACCTCCCCAGGAAGGCGTCCAGGAGGCATCCTGAACAGATGCCCGAGCCACCTCAACTGGTTCCTCTTGACGTGGAGAAGCAGCGGCTCTACTCCGAGCTCCTCCCGTGTGACCGAGCTCCTCACCCTATCTCTAAGGGAGCGCCCAGCCACTCTGCGGAGGAAGCTCATTTCGACCGCTTGTATCCGCGAACTCGTTCTTTCGGTCATTACCCACAGCTCATGACCATAGGTGAGGGAGGGAACGAAGATTGACCGGTAAATTGAGAGCTTTGCCTTTCGGCTCAGCTCCCTCTTTACCACAACGGTCCAACGGTACAATTCCATATGTATGTATTTAACCACTGCTAAAACATTATCTATAATCTGGATCAGGGAATTTATTTCTATCCCAAATTCATTTCATACTAAAGATATTTCACATTGACTGTTTATAGTATTCCCTGATCTCAAATAACTCCCAAGCTACAGCTTTTTGAAGTCTTTATACAATAATTAACATTTTCCAAAATGGCCGCCACCTTGATGACGTCACAATATGCAAATTAGATGACGAATCAACTTCCATCCCAAAGTTTGGTTCAAACTGAAGATATTTCTAATTTACAGTATGCCTTTATCTCAAACCATTTTAAAGTTATAGCCTTTTGAAATCTTGAAATCAAAATTGTATATTTTCTTGAAAAAACTCTGGCGCCTAAAGGGTCAAATAAAAAACTGAAAAGTGGGGTGTGCAATATTATTCGGCCCCCTTGCGCTAATACTTTGTAGCGCCACCTTTTGCTGCAATTACAGCTGCAAGTCGCTTGGGGTATGTCTCTATCAGTTTTTCACATCGAGAGACTGGAATTCTTGCCCATTCTTCCTTGCAAAACAGCTCGAGCTCAGTGAGGTTGGATGGAGAGCGTTTGTGAGAGAGAGAGGAGAGAGAGAGAGAGAGAGACCAGACAGAAGGAGAGAGAGAGAAGGAGAGAAAGATCAGACAGAAGGAGAGATCAAAAGAGAGAGAGATCAGACAGAATGAGAGAGAGCGAGAGAGAGACAGAGAGACACAGAGAGGGAGAAAGAGAGAGAGCCCAGTGAGAAGGAGAAAGACCAGATAGAAGGAGGGCGAGCGAGAGAGAGACAGAGAAGTCACATTTCTCCTCTTGACTCCGTCTCCTCGTAAAAATATTTCTTTATTTAGTCTCTCATCTCCAGCACAAACTCTTCTCTCTCTCTTTCGTACAAAGTCTCCATGTGAAGAATGTCTTTGAAATCTCGTTTCCATTGCAATGATCCTTATATAATGAAAACTAATACTTTGGAATGTGACCGTGCTTCCGCTCTGCTGTGATGTCACGGTCGGGCTGATGTCGCACTGTGGGTGTGTTTCCATGTTCTTCATCATTAATTTTACGCATGTACAAACATAATAATTAGCCGGTCACAGATGTAGGTTGGGCCTCGCTCCTCCCAGGTCCTCATTAACCACAGTAAATAAAAAGGAGGTTTTCTGTCCAGCTTCTTCACAACCTCCAGATCCTACATCCAGGTAAGACACAGATGATATTTTTGTATTTATCTTTTCATTTTAGGATTAGCAATATATTAAAATGTGTTGTTTTGTTATCAAGAAATCGTTTTTATTGTAGAATTGTTTTGTGTTTAAATTATTGAATGCATGAGATGAGGATTATTATAGAGGAAAGAAGATTTAAAAGATTTTTATTATGAATGAGGAGTTTAATATGTGTTGTAAAAATCAAAATGGATTAATTGCTTACAGTGACAAATTTCTTGATTTCAATTTCATGTTTTAAATTAATTAACTAATTTATTTTTTATTAAATTAAACAAAAGATAATTAATTTTAGCATCAGCAATATGTGGGATTAGTATTATTATTAAATATGTTTTCTTGTAGCATTGTTTTGTTTTTAAAATTATTGAATGCATAAGAGAAAGGTTTAATGGGTAAATATAAAAAATCTAGTGATTTTTTTATTTTATTACAAATTTTTCAATTAATTTCTAGTAAAACATGTATAAACTAATATTAAACTACACCAAATATATTTTTATTTTAACGACCTCAATATGCAGTAGTTGTATTATTATTATTATCATCATTATTATTATGAAATCTGTTATATAGTAATATTGTTTTGTGTTTAAATTATTGAATGCATTAAAGGGAGGATTTAAAAGATTATTATGAATGAGTAATGTAATGTGTGTCGTAAATATCAAACATTATTGATTCATAGTTTACAGTGAAAAATGTCCTGATTCCGATTCAATTTTCTCAATTAATTTATAAAAATTAAATCCCGTGCTGTATAAAATTCCATACACGTGTGGGCAAAAACTTTCCATTCAATTCAACATAGTGCTGCCACGTGCCTTTGAAATCCAGATCCGTCAGACCTCAAACCTAAGCAGGAGACGTCTGGTTAGTACTGTAATGGGAGACCTGTGTGAACACCAGGTGCCACAGTGTTGAGTCTCGAATGAGTCTGCTGTGTGTGTGGATGGTTGGTGGTGGTCAGAGGGGCTGATGGCACCGACTGGTTGCCTTGCCTCTGTCAGTGTGACCCAGGACAGCTGTGGCGTGTGTGGAGTGAATGAATAATGACATGTGAAGTGTCTTTGAGTGTTATAATAAGTCTATAGAAAACCTTTTGTATAGCACTAACTCACAACAGCAATCGTCTGCAGGACTGTGCAAAGTTGTCCATTTGCCAATAACAGATCAGAGAATCAAACAAATCCGAACATAGAAAGGCAATAATAACAAACATATTGGTACGGAGGACAATGGAGTCTGTATAGAGACTGGAAAGGACTGGGTACCGTTCAGTTGGCACTTGTCCAGAACTAAACCCACTATAGAAAGTTACTCTTGGGTAAAGTTAAAGGTAAAGGATGAAAACTGCACTTGAAACCTTAAAATGTTTTCTACACAGCGACGCACACAAAACAAATATGTCTAGGAACTGATACCAAAAGCAGGTATCGGTGACCGTAAAAATATATTTTAAAACACAAATTATTTTTCATCAATAAGCATGTTCTGAAAGCAAAAAAAGTAAAATATGTAATGTATTGTAATTGGTCAAGTATCAGCTTAAGGGGGAAGATAGAGAAAAATATATATAGAAAAATACCATAAGTGAGTTCTCCTACTTTTAATCTGAGAAGTTGATAGATAAATAACACGCCATGATAGCCCATATCAAGAATAGAAGAGGTTCTTTATTTTTCCCACAGTGGGGGTTAATTTACCATAAATTCTGCAAGTTAATAATTCAAAATAATGTCAAGGACCACTGAAAATGGTCTAGCGGGCCACATTTGGCTCGTGGACCACGGGTTTGACACCTGTTCATGTATTATTCCTCAATAGTTGTAATATGAAAAGGCTTATTGCTGCTCATCCTGTCTGTCCGTTTAAAGTTATGTAACAATAATACCAAAGAAAAAACACACCTAGCTAACTTATTTTATGTTACACAATAAAGATGCATTAATCCCTTCTAAAGAATAACAGGGAGGTGCATCAATGTGATTCGTACGTTCAATTCCAAAAACCAGTTTAGTCCAGGGTGTAGTTCAAAATGTCCAGTACTGATGCACAAGTAAACATAGAAACACTTTTGTATTTGCGTCAACACCGAAGCAAAACAAGATATTTTTAGGTCCCAGCTCAATTCAGTGCCAACATTTTTGCTTTCTTTTGTGTTACTTAAGGAGATACTTTCACTCTGATCGACAAGGAATCCACGAGAGATCCAACAAACTCAACTCAAAGCGCAAAGAGAACAGGTAAAAATCCGACGCACACACAAAAATCCACCCTTAAAACTTATATTTTTAGACAAGCCTATTCAATAACACCATAACTACACCATTGACAGTTAATGCTGTTTTTAACCTTGTGTTTTAACTGTTTTTAGTTGTACTTTTTAGTTGTTAATTAAGGCAAACTTGAGCACAAGGCCTAAGGAATAAAAATGTATTATTATAATTTTCCCGAACCCAGATATGAAATAATAAAGATAATGACACATGATATGAGATATTATTATTATTATTATTATTATTATTACACTATGTCTTTCTAAAACCGTATCATTGACTGTGTTTTTTCTGTGTGTAGGTTCCAGAATGACTTTGGGGTTCATTGTTTTGAGCCTTCTGCTGCTGCCGACAGCAGTGACGGCGTTTCGTGTGGACCGAGAAATCACATACAATCACCAGGAGATTACAAAGAGAGCAATCTTAGAAGTCACGTTAGAAGTGTGTCGCAGTGTGGCCGAGTCCAATGGAAAAGCCTTCACTTTCCCAGTAAGTATTTTGATTCTTACTTTATACAACAACAATTTTTCTTTCCTTTTTTCCTTTCTGTGTGTTGTTTTGTTTGCTATCCCTACCCCCCTTTGCCTAAATATCTTGTTATGCTATGATGGATCTTTGATTAAAAAGAGATTAAGAATTACTTGTATTGTCCTAGAAAATAATAGAACGCCATAAAGTATTGGTTTTGGCTCATGGTGAAAAAAGTTATAAAATAAATTTTCTAAAAAGAATGAGGCAAGCAAAAATGTAACACTATACTGTATTTGCTATATATTATTATTATTATTATTATTATTAAACTTTCTATTCTACCAGTCACTAGATCATGTTTAAAATTGGCACAAATAACATAAATAACCTAAACAATGTGTTATTACGACTAAACTTCATTTCTTTGACGTTAGACCAAGCCCTACATTGTGGAGAGCGTGGCGGCAGCGTGTGACATTATGGACGGACTCAAGGCGTTCCACGAAAGCGTGAAGTCGATCCTGAATGTCAACATTAAACTGGACAAAAGCGGACAGTTTGAATCCAGCGGCCATCACTTTCACAACGAGATGTTCAACGCAGGACGTGACATCATCGCGGCGGGATTAACAGCGGTGAAGGCCAACAACAAGAAAGGGAACGTGGAGACGGCCAAGCAGCAGCTGGGGAAAATCACCCACACTCTGCAGGTAGGTTACGTGCAAGATTGACGCACAAAAAAACTGAATATTTCCCATTCTTACATTGTTTTGTTGCTTTGAAGGATTTCTACAGTAACAGCAACTGGATAGAACTCGGCATGACAAGTCCAAATGCTGAACTGCTGAATGGAAATGGCAACGTAGGAACTGTGGCAGGTAAAAATCAATTGATCAAATGATGTTTATGAAACACACAGCAGCATAGAAACACACACACACACACACACACACACACACAGACATCAAACGGGTAAGATTACAAAACCTGGGAAAGATATATGGCTTTGTTGGGGTAAACCGCTGAAGTAGCACCATCTGTCAGCACTTACAGCAGGACGGGGTCTGGTTAGTACTGTGATGGGAGACCTGTGGGAACACCAGGCGCCACAGTGGGGCGGCTGTGGCTGTAAAATACCAAACTGTTGTTGTGTCCGTGGGCAAGACACTTCACCCATATTGCCTGGAATGAGTCTGGTGTGTGTGTGAATGGTCGGTGGTGGTCCAAGGGTCTGATGGCACAGACTGGTTGCCTTGCTTCTGCCAGTGTGCCCCAGGGCAGATGTGTATGGAGTGAAAGAATAAAAAAGCACTACATAAAACCAATGCATAATTTGAGAAAACTTTATCACAACAAATACTTTCTTCTTCCGTAGCTCTGTCACAGGCCACATGCAGAAACTGTATTGGACAATGTACCAACAACATCTTAAACAACATCATCAGAGATAAAATCCTCACCTCCGGCTACTACACTGTGGCACCGGATACCTCCAAACCCGCAGGTAAGAAAAGCTCTGAGCAACGTAAGCTAAACTACAACTACTTTGATGATCGAATCTCCAAATGACTTTGAATGTTGCAATTAATCACACAGGAAAGTGCAGCAATGGAAGCCCTATGGATGCTTCAAGGACAGTGAGCCCTACCGGAGGCATCAACAAGGACACACCAGTTTCCAGTCACGGTCACCTCCACGAAGAAGCCGCAAACATGGCTATTTCGGCCACCGTCCAGCTCCTACAGGATATCCGAGCAGCAAGCGGAGATGAAAACTTTTTACGGTAAGAAAAGCCCACAATAATAAAGTCTCAAGTCGTTAATGGTCTCCCCAACCATTTGGATCTCTTTGGAGTCCCTATATCTACTGCTTGGAACTTAAAGCTACCTCTTTGGGGAATCTCTAGCACTTGGTTTTAAGAAGTTTTACCATCAAGCTGCATCGCAACCATTTGGTAAAGGCCTATAATTGAAAAAAACGTGGTTAAAAAAGCAGAAAAACATATAATTGGTGTGATCAGTGCTCCTACATATTAGAAAATCAAAAAAGAAAAACCGCTTTCTTCGAGGAGTGAACATTAAAGGGTTTGATCATTTGTGTTTTTTTACAGGATGATTGGAGCCACGTCTGGGAAGCCTCTGGTCTTTGCCATTGACACCACCGCTAGCATGACGCAGGATATCAAGGCAGTGCAAGTTATGACCGACACCATTATAAGCAACTCCAAAGCCGGGCTACAAGCAGAGCCTTCGGTGTACGTTCTGGTCACTTTCCACGACCCAGGTGAGAGAAAAACATTCAAATTCAATTCAATGTATTCTTGTATAGCCCTAGCTCACAACATAACCGAGAATCACAGTTAAAACACAAGATATGCAATGATAAAAAACACATATAGCATTTTTTTTCTATAAGAGGCAGATGACTAATGTCCATCAATGTTGATAAATGTCGAGTGTCCAATGCCCTTACAAAAACTTTTCTGATCCCATGTATTCTTCCAGTTAATTTGTCATTAACACAAAGCATAATTTTCTTTCCACCAGACCCCGCAACCATTTTCAAAACTACAGATTCTAAGGCGTTCACGGATAAGCTTGCTGAGTTGGTTGCGTCTGGTGGTGGCGATAGAGATGAAAACTCTCTCACAGGCCTGGAGGTAGGGTCTCAATAGCTCAAGAGTCTAACATTTGACACTAGAAGAAATTCATTCTGGTGTTAAATTCACTTTTGATTGTGCTTTTCTAGGTGGCTCTGACAGGTGCTCCTCCTGGTTCAGACATATTTATGTTCACCGATGCTGGCGCCAAAGATAAAAGCAAGAAAGACAGTGTCATGGCGTTGCTTGAGCAGACCAAGTCCACGGTGAGAGATTTTTTACTTGTTTTTTTATACAAAGGCTGGTTTTTTGGCCATGAGAACGCATTGTTAAGTTGGTGGATTTCAATTTATTCCAGGTGAACATTGTGTTGACTGGGAACTTCGTGGATGTGACGGAGTACAAAGCCATAACTCAAGCTTCAGGCGGACAGTTGCTCTCGGTGCCAGTGAGCGACCTGGGAAAAGCCGCCGACCTCGTGTTTGACTCGTCCTCGGCCTCTTCTATGGTAAATTTACACTTATATGCAGCAAACATACAATTAAATATAACACAACATGAATCAGACAAGCGGTAAAGATACTAGACCAAAAGGTGATTCAACAAAATAGATCCTTAGTAGATAAAAGACACACTACTTTTTTGGCTTCACATGCTGCCCAGGGGTACACTGACAGAAGTGAGGCAACCAGTATGTGCCATTGGCCTCTCCAACAACCTGCAACTATTCTCACACACACCAGACTCATTCTAGACAATGTGGGTGAAGTGTCTTGCCTAAGGGCACAATAAGGCACTTTACAGGCACCCGACTGTGGCACCTGGTGTTCTCAGAGGTCTCCCATCAAAGTACTAACCACAATTTACCCTGCTTAGCTTCAGATGTCTGCAGTCAAAAATTTACAACTGTACAACCATACATAATATCTCAATGAAAGAGATGAATGAGCAAATCGAGGCCTTAGCAGTTAATATGTATAATTGAAAGAAACCCGAAATAAAATAAAAATCAACTTCTACCTCCCCCTCTAGGTCACACTTTTGGATGAAACTAGAGAATCAGGAAAGTCTGAAAACTTTACTTTCATCATGGACGAGACGACCAAAGACGTAATGGTTTACGTCACTGGACCAGTCACTAGTGTCGAGTTTGTCGATCCATCAGGTAAATATACGTTTTTAATATCAGAGGTTTTATTGTTTGGAAAAGTCAAACTTATGCACCGCACTTCGCTTTGGTTCAGGAGATAAAACAGGAGATGTAGTCGACACAAGTTCGATCGTGGGAAACTTCAGAAGAATCCACTTGAAAGAAGAAGTTGGAGAATGGCAAATGAGAGTAAAGTCTAATTTCCCGTACACCGCCAAGATTGTCGGTAAGTCCTGACTCCTGCCTCAAACTCGATCAGAAAATGTTCCGATACTGGTCTTGACGAATGGTTTGTGTCTGTTGTATTTTAAAGGGGACAGTCCATTGGATTTCATCTACAATATCATGGGACCAGCTCAGGGTCCTCTCGGAGGCACAGTTGCTCAAACCAATCGTCCCAAAGCAGGTAAATATAAAAACAGATGTATTATAGATATTGATATATATGTATTATGTATTTTTTATACTAAACTACTAGTCTTTCAACACATCTCATACTTGACATTTGGCCCAGTTGTGGTTGAATCCAAATATACTACAAAATAATTATAAAAGAAAACCACATTTATACTTCTGGCCCGTACCAGATCTTATGAGTTTGACACCCCTGTAACTTTACAAATGCTTTCTATAAAACGTGCATTTCTTGTTGTTTTTGAAGGCGAGAAAGCTAACGTGGAGCTGACACTGATTGGGAGCGAGACTGCGACAGTGACCGAGGTGTTGCTGCTAACTCCAAATGGAACTGTTGAAGGCAAAGTCACCAGTTTGGGGAACAAAGAATACTCAGTGGAGTTTGATCCGATGCCAGCGGGAGAGAGTCGTCTGCTCGTGAAGGGAAAGACAGGCCAGGGCTCTTCCAAAACCTTTCAGCGACTTTCACCTGCAAAAATCATGACCTCCTCCATCTCTGTGATTGCTGTAAGTATCCACGATGTACTCATATTTCCCATAGTTGAATTGACAATTTACTTTTTCTTCATTGCTTTCTGTACTTGCCACAACTTGTAGTTAAAAGTAGATTAGTTCAGTTTTGTCTTCTTATATTTAGTTATGTGGCTCTTCTATACAAGATAATTTTGCTTTGTCCCATTGGCAAATCCTATTTCAATATGTCGTCATTTTAATTATTATTATTTATTTATTTTAAATTTGAGCAATTACTGACCTTTTAAATTGCTCTTTGAATTGCCTTTTTACACAAACTCGGCTATACAAACAAATGTGTTGATTGATTGATTTTTAAAACATGTTACCATTACAGGAAGAGTCGAGCGGCCTGATTGAACCCGGCGCGTCAGTAAAAATGCCGTTCACCATCTCCAGCCCCAAAAAAGGAGCCTACACGATAAAGGCGTCCAACAACAAAGGGTTCCCCATGACTTTCCCGACGCGGCTGGAGATGGTCGGAAGCAGCATCGGAGGCGAAGTCGTCCTCTCTGCCCCGAGTCTGGCTCAGTCCGGCTCCGAGGTCACCGTCACCATCTCCGTGGAAGACGAAGGGAAAACAGAGATGAACTACGCCATCAGCAGCTTCACCGTGCAGAGAAAGGTACGTTTGTTTCAATGGATTGTAGAATTATGTTATTATACAACTCTGTGGGAAAAAAGCCATGTTTGGAAGAAATTCTCTGATCTGTTGTTGAGGAATCTACAACTTTGGAATGTCCTTCGAGACAACTGCTGTTTTGATTTAGGGCTACTGTGGTGACAGTTTTTGGAGTAATTACATAAAACCAGCCGCAGCAAATACACGGACGTCAAAGGCCTTTTATCAATGCAGAGACGCCCTTCTGACGCCATGCTGAGCTTTGTGAGGGCCCCCTGCTGTCTGTCACACCCTTGTGTCTTTCGTATCTTGAATCTGTATGCCTGCTTCTATCCATATGCCCCTGCTGCCAGGAAGGAGCCGGGCCCCCCCCGACACCTACAGACAATGGCTATCACTCTTGCCCCCTTTCACCTCTTGCATATGTATCGGTCTGTATGTGTGCACTCTCTACATCCTGCACCGGTGGCCCCCCTCCCATCTGTTGTGGGCGGGACTGGCTTTCGTGTGTGTCTTGTATACAGGAAGCTCGGGGCTCTGGCCGCCAGAGCTGGGACATGCTGCCTTTGAGTGGATGTGCTGGCTCTCCGCACGTGCGTTAACAATAAACTTACGCTTTTGATCAGACAAAGGACCTTTGAGTTTTCTCCTTCATGGGGTATATAATTCCACAACACTACACACGAATGAACTGAATTGAAGAAAGTGCTGTATATGTTTGGACAGATCAATATTCAATAATGATTATATAAAACAAACATGTCATAGTATTTTTCTGAAAATCCTTTCTACTGGACGATTTCCAATTCTATTAAAATGTATTTTTGTGCAGCCCTTAAATAATGTCTCAGAGAACATTACAAAGTTGTTGATTTGCTAACAACAGGTCAAACACAAACAGTAGGTGCAAGATGACCAAGGTCCATAAATGATAGATCAATATGTAGATAGATATATAGATAGATATATAGATAGATAGATAGATAGATAGATAGATAGATAGATATAAAGATACATAGATAGATAGATAGATGGATAGAAAGATAGAAAGATACCTGAAAAACCTTACTCATTCCAATTCTCCATTGTTGTCTCTCTGTAGGTAACAGACTTCACCAAACCAGTCTGTGAGAAGATCAGTCAGACCAGCTGCCCCGAGAGCTGCTCCTCCTCCACGTGGGAGGTCAAAGTCCGAGTCACAGACGGCGAAGGCCTGGTGACCACCTCCCTCGCTCTGGGCAACGGGACCATGACTCATTTGCCGGGGTCAGACACGGTCACCTGCGTCACGTCCTGCTGTACGAAGGAAGTGGAGATAGTGGCGGTGGATAGCGTAGGTAACGTGGCCACTTGTCGTTATACGTCCCAAAGAGCCGCTACAACGACAACAACAGCTCCCAACAACAACCTAAACAACGGCAACTTAGGATCCACATCTATGTCGCCCAAACTTGTACATTCCTCTGTCCTTTGGCTCTTTATCTGCATGGTTGGGTTTCATTTCACCAGCTGAAATACAAAAACATAGCAAAAAGAAGTGAAAGGATATTTATATAAGAGTATTTGAATAATATATAAGAGTATTTATACAGGTGAGATATGTGTTGCCTGGAGGTGGAAAGAAGTCTCAACTGCTGCTTTTATTTAATGTTTGTAAATACATGTAAACCCTGAAGAAAGATATTTAATAAAGTTATTTATATACACACTAAGCCATGTGAGTTTGGAAAGTTTTTGTGTTGAATTGTGTTGAATAAGGTGGAAAAAAGAGAGAGGTCAAATTCAGGACTGCAAAAATTCAAGATTCAAAGATAATTTAATCCATAATAACAACACAAATCCAACCGGGGAGAAAACACAATGGACTGACAACAAAAGGAGAGGAGCACATGGTTTAGATACACACAGGGCGGGGAAAGGAGACAGACACGAAGTCAAACTCATTAGAACGAATCAATTATCGATGTAAAGTCCAAAAGTACAAAAATAAATGACATTGAATTGTGTTGAATTGAATTGAAAAAAAAAATGTCCTTGCTCTCAAAACATTTATACTATACCATGAAATATAGATGGTCTTGGTTCAGGTGCACTGCCTGAAAGATGCAGCTGGGGGCGCCCTCGGGCACTGGAGGGAGTCTGGTTTTCAAGGACCTCTGCACTGTGTGGCCCCTTCACTGAATATCTAGTAAATTAATGAACTATACATTAAAATGAAATCAATTATAGATTTGACACTCGACATTCACCTGCCCCTGGCTCTGTGGTACTTTTATCATTATTTATTTCTTGTGTTTGAACCGTTTGATTCTCTGATCTGTGTTGGCAAATTCAACGGTTTTGTAAAGTCCAAGATGCTGTTGTGATTTAGGGCTGGACAATTTGTATTTGTATTTATTTGATCTCCATTAGTTGTAACAAGTACATCTATTCTTCCTGGAGTCAGTCCAGCATGCTGGTCACAAAACATGTTTTACACCAGTTTTCACCAACAAGTGATACAATAAAAGACACCCCCCACCCCCACCCACACACACACAACATATATTCTTACATACACACGCAACTGTACAAAGGACCTAGAAATATTCTGACGAAAAACAAAACGGAGATTAATCTGACTCTTAGCAGCAAAATATTTGGTCACATAACACAACTTTTCAAAATCAACCAGTTACATTAAACAGATGTCTTTTCAGAAGGGCCTTAAATTGGTACTTACTGTTTGCATGAGTAATTGACCTTATATTACAGAAGAGAACAAATAAAATCACAAAAAATGCACATTATTGGCACACTTTATTGGAAGCAGGATGAGCAGTGTCCACAAATGTCCTTAAAAATAATCAATTAACTCAACACCACAAAAGAGTTGTGGGTGCAAACAGAGGTCGTGGGGAGGGTGTTATGACTGGCGCTGGAGTGGCTGTGATGGGAGGAGAGGGGCCCTGAGGTGGGTCTGGAGCGGGCTGGGAGAGGCCAGGAGGCGTGAGGAGGTGCCGTGAGGGAAGAGCAGAGGGATGGAGCAGAGTGCAGGAGACCGATGTGGTTCTGGAGGGACTGAGGCTGAGGCGTGGGGTGTCATGGGAGGACATCGCACCGAGCCAAGGCAGGGAGAGCCTCCAGCAGCAGACGGCGCGTTGTTATCCGCGGGGGGAGCGGTAGCATTCACGCAGGGGTCCTGCGCTGCGTCAGAGCGCAGTGACCCCTCCGGAGCCAGGACAGCGTTCACAGGGGGACTCCGCACTGCGCTACAGCGAGGGGATCCCCCCACGGCTGCCCCGGCGTTTGCTACGCTCTGCGCTGTGCACCGTGCGTCTGTGGGGCTACTCACCGTTACATGGCGCAGCGAGTCTCCCGGGGCTGAGGCAACATTCGCGGGAGGACTCCGCGCTGTCTTCGAACGTGGAGATCCCTCCACGGCTGCCTCAGGGTCAGCCAAGCCCCGCGTAGTGTCCGGGCTCTTGGGGCTCCGCGCTGGGTCACAGCTTGGAAGGCCCACGGAGCGCCTGCGGACTGCCTCCTCGACCAGCTTGCGGCGGGTGGGCATGGACGCTCTGCGGTCTTGCCGCCTCTGCTCCAGGCTGCTCTGGCTCCGGGGATGATGGTCTGGGACTGGACAGCCAGGCACCGTTGGCTCCGGGATTGGAGGAGGCAGCAAAGGATCCGGAACCGGGTAGCGCGCTGGATGCTCCGGGAAGAGCACGGAGGCAAAGCTCGGCCCAGGAGCGGGCGGGTCCTTTCGTCGGACCACATTCTACGTCATGGTGCTACGTCCCTTAGGACTTCGCTAGTGGGATATCACTCGTGACCCCCAGGTCACGCGCCAGAGAGATCAAATAATTTGCTCCAATCACCAGCCACCTTCCTCTATAAATGCCCCTGCACAAGGCCGCATCCCCTCTTTCACTCTGGCGCCGATTGAGATCTACATTCAATTACCTGAGGAAAGATGTCTTCCGATGCTCGTCCGAGTTCCCCTTCGCCATCCGGCGTCGGACGTCGTCGTTGCTCGACTTGTCGGGTCAAGCTCCAGCGCAAGGACCAGCACTCCAGCTGCTTCCTGTGCCTGGGTTCGGGCCATGCGGCGTTGAGCGCCACCTGCGCCTCGTGTGTCGCTCTCCCCAGGGAGGAGAGTGAACGCAGGCGCGCGTTCTTCGCCGCTACAGCGCCCCGTCCGGACCCCTCTCAGGACGAGGGGTCTGCGATTGACTGGGCCCCCCTCGACCTTCCACCCGTGCCCGCGGAGTGGGGTGACTGCGAGGACGGAGAGGTGTCGGAGGTCGGCTCTCTCTTCACGCTGGACGAGGTGGTGTCCAACCCGGAGCCGGACCGCTTCCCGCTGGACCACATGCCTGGGCTCTACGCCACGGCGGCGGCCATCATGGATGCCCCCCTGCCACCGCAACCGAACCAGAGGGTGGAGGACTTCACCTCTGGTTACGCCACCCCTCGAGGGAGGAGGAGAGCCCAGCCCACGTTGTGCCCGCGTATGGACCCGATCGTCCATTACGCGACACGTGAGTGGCCAAAGCCCCTAGCGGCCAAGAGGCCCGCTTTGGGGTATGGCATGTACTGTAACGTGCAGGACTGGTCCTGGACCGGCGGGGTCCCGGACATCGAGGACTCGGTTCGGGCGGCCCTGCACCCCTCCACATCCGTGTGGCCCAGCACCAGACCTCTCCTTCCCTCCGAGCGGGATAGGATGTCTTTGGCGATGCACGACAGATGTTACGCCAATGCGGCTCAGGTCGTCGCGGTGGCTAACAACATGGCCTTCATCACCGGGGCCCTGGATAGGTCTCTCTCCTCTGACCAGGCACTCAGTGGAGACACCTTATCCCAGGCGAGGACCACTTCAGCGGCGATCTTGCGCATGTGCCAAGCGCTAGCTGTCGATGGCGGCCGCACGATGGCAGCAGCACAAGTTGGGGCCAGACACCTCTGGCTGGGGTTGGTGAATCTCAGAGAGGCGGAGAAGAGGCAGCTGCTGGACCTGCCCATCTCCCAAACGTCACTCTTCGGTCCGGAGATGCAGACGCTGATAACGAGGCTGGACACCGCAGCTAAGGACTCTCCTAGCCTAGCCAAGCATCTAGCTGCGAGACGCGAGGCCCGCCCACCAGCGCGGAGCCGAGACCGAGGCAGGGAGCGCTCGCCCGGCAGGCGCCCCGGACCCTATCCACGCTCCGTGGTCCATCGTTCCCCAGCGACGAGACCCCCGGGCCCAGACAGGCACACGGGAGGTTCGCGGGACCAACACACCCAACGACGACCTCCCTATGGCAGAGGAGGTCGGGGTGGGAAAAATGTTTTCAATAAAGGCCGTCCGGCATTTCATCAGTACTCGCTGTCTGAGTCTCATTTGGGGGTATGTAACATGTCAAATGATTTGAATTCTGATTGTGTTACTTCTCGAGCATATAACGTGGCTCCGCTAGGCCTGCAGCCCCCAGAGAAGGGCGTGCAGCGCGCTATGCGGGCCACGGGCTCCGATTCACGGGTTCATGTTTTGCCCTCCCGGAGAGAGGGCAGGCGGAGGGATCTGGTAAGTGATAATGTGTGTGCTCCAGCCGAACGCGTGTTAGCATCTCTGAGCTACAAGGCTAACACGGGGTTTCCTACTCCAGGGGCTCGTCCCCCCCTCCATGAGGCAAGAGCCAGGGGGGGGCACAGCAGCCGAGTCACGTGTGGTGAGCAGTCCCGTACTTATGACGTCGGGCCTGCAGAACACGTGACCGCCTTCGGCGCTCACGGTGTGACGCAGGGGGCCCCCCGGCCCTTCAGCCACCCCCCCTCCCTGCTAGGAACACCAGGAGGGGGCGGGGCCGTGACGTCTCGTGTTCCAACTCCCGTTCCGCCCCTCACAGATTTCTACACCATCTGGAGGGAGCAGGGCCTACTGACAGATATTTGGCTGGAGAAAACTCTGCGCAGAGGTTACTCTCTGCAATTTTTCCGAAAGCCACCACCATTCCGAGGCGTACGGGCAGTACGCTCTCAGGTACGGGGATCGACAGAGGCACTAGAAGCGGAGGTCTCCTCTCTGCTGAGTCGAGGCGCAGCAGTGGAGGTAGACCCGCAGGACGCCACCAGGGGGCTGTACTCCCCTTACTTCTTAGTGCCAAATAAATCAGGCGGGGTGCGTCCCATTCTGGATCTGCGCGTGTTAAACGAGTGCATTTCCAAGCGGCAGTTTCGGATGCTGTCCACAAGGCAGCTCCTCGAGTGTGTCAGGGAAGGAGACTGGATGACTTCCATAGACCTGACAGACGCATATTTCCACGTGCCCATAGTGCCAGAACACAGGAGGTTTCTGCGCTTCGCAGTGGGAGAG